GCTGCGCCACCAGGGGAGGCCCGAGGCTGTCTGTGTTTAAGCTACCTAGAGACGTGTCTCTTTGGAGCCCAAATATTTCTCAAAGTGCGTGCAAGCCTGTCCTCCCTGGGGACCGGCAGGCAGTCTGGGTGGGGTCCTTCAGTTTTCCCGGTTGTGCAGCCCCACACTCATGCCCTCTCTGACCTCCCTTCTGCCCAGGGCCTCCCAGCGAGCCCACCCACCTAGCAGTGGATGACGTCTCCGACACTACGGTCTCCCTCAAGTGGCGGCCCCCGGAGCGCGTGGGAGCGGGAGGCCTGGATGGCTACAGCGTGGAGTACTGCCGAGAGGGCTGTGAGTAGCCCTGCCAGCCCCAGGCGCTCTGCCGCCCAGGGCGCTTCTTCCAGGCCAGGGACCTGCCCCCCTGCTGGGCCCCCAGTCACCAGGGAGGTGGGCAGTGGGTGAGGGCGGGTGTGGATGCTGACGCTGCCCGGGGCCTTGCCTCCTTGCCCTGCCTCCAGCCTCGGAGTGGGTGGCCGCCCAGCCAGGGCTGACGGAGCGCACGTCCATGCTGGTGAAGGACCTGCCCACGGGCGCCCGGCTGCTCTTCCGCGTGCGGGCGCACAATGTGGCGGGGCCTGGTGCCCCCGTCACCACCAAGGAGCCCGTGACGGTGCAAGAGATACTGCGTGAGTGGCCCTGTGCGTGGCGCAGGCTGGACGTGGATGGCCGGGAGATCCTGCCTGGGAGAGGGGCTCGCGCTGCACAGGGGCAGCGGGGTCAGAGCTTTTGTCCAGGCCTCAGGCCCAGGGCAGACACGCAGAGAGGGCCTCTGGGTTATTCCACGTCAACCCCCAGCGCTGGAACAGGGAAAACTAGGCCATTCGATCATCGTCTTCAAGCTCAGGTCTGAGTCTCTCAGCTCCAGTGGGTAGGTAGAGCCCATGTGCTCGGGGCTGCGCAGGGAGCCCACTCTGTGGGGGCAGGTGGCCCATCTGGAACCCACTTTCCTCTCTGTTCCCAAGAGGCTCAGTTGTGTAAGTGGTTCTTGAAGTGGGAAGAGGTGGCAAGTGGGTGGAAACAGCACGGGCGAAGAGTCCAAAAACCTGGATTTGCCTCCTGGCTGTGACTTAGCTACTGTGTGACCTCCAATCAGTTGCTTACCCTGCCTGATCCCAGTCTCCTGCGCAGTCTCAGGTGGAAGTTGTCAGCTGTTTTTGCAACAGTTTCCTAAGCTCTGTGGGGCTGGGGCTGAAGGAGGAGCAGGAAGAGGGGCAAGCCCAGCAGGCAGCCTTTTCCTTCGTGGCAGCTCTGCGGGTGCTGCCAAGGCAGACTGTGGTGGGCCTCAGGCCTGGGCTGTGGGAGGCCCTCGTTGAGCAGCCCCCTCCGTCCCCACAGAGCGGCCACGGCTCCAGTTGCCCAGGCACCTGCGGCAGACCATCCAGAGGAAGGTTGGGGAGTCAGTGAACCTCCTCATTCCTTTCCAGGTAGGGGTGCCCTTTCCTATGCCCAAGGGGAGAGGCGCCAGTGTGTTGTCCACGCCTAGAAAATGGATGTCTCTCAGGCTGACCAGACCCTGCGGCCTCGCCCAGGAGGCTGGGGTAGTGACAGCCCTCGGAGGGAACTGGGCCAGGGGTGAGCTGTCCCTCCCCACAGGGCAAGCCCCGGCCTCAGGTGACCTGGATGAAAGAGGGGCAGCCGCTGGCCGACGGGGAGGTGAGCATCCGCAACAGCCCCACAGACACCATCCTGTTCATCCGGGCCGCTCGCCGCGCCCACTCTGGCACCTACCAAGTGACGCTGCGCATCGAGAACATGGAGGACAAGGCCACGCTGGTCCTGCAGATCATCGGTGCGTGCCTCTGGGTCCCCTCTGAGCCCACTCAATTCCAGGCCCCGAGGCCAGGCCTGGGAGTCTGACCAGAACCTCACTTCCTCCAGTCCTGGGGGTCCTCCTCTGCATGCCCAGAGCCCCTGCAGGACATGGCAGGCCAGGTTTTGGTCAGCAGGCATGAGGGGCCAGCGGTAAGGGGCCTGGCAGTCCCAGGAAATGTGGCGTGGCGACTGGTCTACGTCTTTCAGACAAACCAAGTCCTCCCGAGGACGTCTGTGTCACTGAGACGTGGGGTTTCAATGTGGCTCTGCGGTGGAAGCTGCCCCAAGACGATGGCAACACAGAGCTCTTGGGTTACACGGTGCAGAAAGCTGACAAGAAGACCATGGTGAGCCTGAGTCTGGGGGCCTGGCCACCCACAGACACCTTCCCGAGAGCTGGGGGGCGGGCCCCAGCTGATCTTACTATGGGTTCGCCAATCATCCTCCTGCTCTGGCCTGGTTCCCTCCATGGTTGGGGTGCCGATCCCAGGGCTACCTGAGAGAGGCCCAGACCTCCAGGCCCCTCGCTTCCCCGCGCCCCGCAGGAGTGGTTCACGGTCCTGGAGCATTACCGCCGCACCCACTGCGTGGTGTCCGAGCTCATCATCGGCAACGGCTACTACTTCCGGGTCTTCAGCAATAACATTGTGGGGCCCAGTGACAAAGCCGCCACCACCAAGGAAGCCGTCTTTATCCCCAGACCAGGTGCTGTCTCCTCACTCCTCACCCCTCGGGGGAGCAGGGGGGAGCCTGGCTCCGTGTGGCCCTCTTGGCACGAAGCCCTATTGCCAACAGGCATCACGTACGAGCCACCCAACTACAAGGACCTGGACTTCTCCGAGGCCCCCAGCTTCACCCACCCCCTGGTGAACCGCTCTGTCATCGCTGGTTACAACACCACGCTCTGCTGCGCCGTCCGGGGCAGCCCCAAGGTAGAGAAGGTGGGGCCCCTGGCTGGGGAGACCCGGGGGCAGGGCCCAGAGGCTCCCACCTGGAGCTGTCCTCTCCCCAGAATGTCCCCCTGCTTTCCCTCCTCCTCAGGGTGTCCAGGCCAGGCTCCGCTCTCTGTACAGGGTGGGCACCCCCAGCCGGCTCCCTGTTTGCTTCCAGTTTGGGGCTCACGTGGGATCCTCCAGAGCAGTAACACAAATGCATCTCCCTGGTTCCTGCCGGTTCCTCCTCGTCCGACTCTGTGTCCCTCCCTCCCTTGAACTGATTTACAGCCCAAGATCTCCTGGCTGAAGAACGGCCTGGACCTGGGAGAAGACGCCCGCTTCCGCATGTTCAGCAAGCAGGGAGTGTTGACCCTGGAGATCAGAAAGCCCTGCCCCTTCGACGGGGGCGTCTATGTCTGCAGGGCCACCAACTGGCAAGGCGAGGCGCAGTGTGAGTGCCGCCTGGAGGTGCGAGGTGAGGACCCCACGGGGCCAGGGCCTGGGTGAGGAGCTGGACCTCCAGCTGGGCCTCTGCTGTCCTGGCCCACCCAGTGGCTCTGGCCGAAAGAACAAAGGCTCTGTCACATCTGGGGAGGCCTGGCTTCTGGGCTCCCTCTGGAAGGCTGGGGGCCCCACATGGTGCTGGGAGGTGCAACACACCTGTAGCATGGCCTCCTTTCTCCCACAGTGCCGCAGTGACCAGGCTGGCACCCCCATGGCCAGGTATGTGCTCTCGACACCTGACCCCCCAGGGCCCAAATCAGAGGCTGAGTCTTGGCCCCTGTCCGGGGCAGCCATCAGGAAGTTGGGGTGCAGGTGGCTCCTAGCAAGGTTTCTGTTCAGCTCATTCACAAGGGACCCTGTGTTACAGGCTCAACTGGACGCCACCCAAACACCAGGAGCCTCAAAGGAAGCTGGACAAGCCCCTTCCTGCTGTTGGATATGTGTGTGTGTGTGTGTGTGTGTGTGTGTGTGTGTGCGCGCGCGCACGTGCACGCCCAAGTGTGTATTTTGGGGCTGCACTGGGGGAAGCTATAGGAGCAGGCACGGGGAGGGGTTGCTTTGTGTGGGCTGAAGCTGCGGGGGGAGCTGCTGCTGGAAACTCTCAGATCTTTGGGATGAAGAGAAGGTGGGTGGGCTGCAGAAATGACGGTGGGGTCAGATTTTCTGGCCTGCTGCGTCTTTTCAGTATGTAAGGGCAATAAAGATGGGTGTGGTCGCGGAGGTCTGCCTGTCTCGGCCCGGCACTTGCTCCCACAAGCAGCACAGGGAAACTGGCTCTGCAGAGTAAACAGGGGGCAGGTGCTTTGTCTCCAGCCTCAGTTAAATCCTGACATTATGAAACATCCACACTAGAAGGAACCTAGGTCCTCCCCACTGACACCCCCTTCAATGAGTAAGGGAGTTGCTGGGAGGGAGGAGAGCTCACAGTGGCTACACCAGAAGCTCAGGCTCTCGGCTCATCCCTGTGCGTGCTACTTTGCCCAGGCACCCATGAGCGCAGTGGCCCTGACATGGGGCCATGCAGAGTCTCCTGTGGTTCCGTGCCCAGAAGGCCTGGAGAAGAGCTGCACTAAGCTGCTTTGGGTCCCCTGTGGGCAACCAGCCTACAGGCCACCCACAGCCATCACCTGCCAGGAAAGCCATTCTGTCCAGCCCAAGTCACTGGGGCCGGCTCTGCTCTACTCTTCCTCACCATTTCCTTCTGGGAGGAGGAAGCCAGCAAGTCTCAGAGGTACCCTGCTAGGGTATGGAAGGGCCTTCCTACCCAGGGGGTGCCAGAGGGGCCCCCCCATGGCATAGGGGAAAAATCATGTGGGCTGGTTCTAGAGTGGCTTCAGAGTTCCACCCAAGACACTCCTGACCGAGAGCCCAAGGCGCTGGTGAGGCCACAACCTCTGGACCACACCCACAAGGGGCGCAAGGGAGCCCCTATCCTTGGTTTTTCCCTCACTGTGCAATTAATCGCTGCTCAGGTGTCACAGTCCAGTGTGGCTGCTCCCTCTAGTGGCCAATCCTTAGCACAGCAGCCCCGGCCAGGCCCTGGCGGGCCTAAGGGAAGGAGGCCCCCCCCACAGCCTCTCCCCGGGAGAAATCAGGTTGGGCCTGACCTGGGACAAGCCTGATCTCATCTCCCTCCTTTCAGCCCAAGGTGCCTCTGCAGAGCGCAGGGACAGTCTTCCTCGGGCCTGGCTGCAAGGACGCATCGTGCAAGGCAAGGCAGCCAGGAGCCCAAAGGGAGTAAAGACATTTATTCACAGTCACAGTTCTGTACAAGTTCTATAAATAACATGGAGCGGAAGTATTTACAGGGGTGTCTTCCCCAGTCCCAGCCCCTCTCCTTTCGGGCACTCAGTGCCGAGACGCTGCCTGCAGACTCAGATATGTACACCGAGCTCGGCCTTTTCCTAGCCCGGCCCGGCTCCCGGGTGGGGCGGCCAGGGTCCCTGGGACATGCCCAGTCCCAACCACTCTGTTTTCTCACACTGAAGGCAAGAGAGACCATAGGGCAATCGCTGCTCAGCAAAAAGCGGCCCTGCAGCGCTGCTGCTTGGCCGTGGTGGAGGCCACAGCAGGCAGCGGCAGGCGTGCGGCCCTGGCAGTGCTGCCAGCTGGGGAGAGGCGCTAGGAAGCAGGCGGCAGCCACACGCTCTGCTGCCCCTCGGCTCTCCCAACCTTTGTCCTTTCCCTGCCCATCTCTGAGAGGACAGGCCTCAAACTTCCCTCATCTCCACCAAGGCTGCTCGAGGCACACAGTTGTGCCAGCACAGAGGACAGGGGCCAGAGGCCTGCACTGGAGGGTCCGAACACCAGGGACAAGGCATCACAACACAAATGTCTCAAGGACACGCAATACTGGGCTCGCACTGGCCTGGACTCTGTTCTTAGAAGCCAATGGCCCAACAAACAAGACACACACAGACCCCGAGGGGTCAGTACGCTGGTCTTCTGGAATGGAGGAGGAGAAGGGGCCGGAGACTAACTCAGCTGTGTGACACATACTCCAAGACACACTGAGACATGGAACTAGGGACCAACCAAGCCACGAGGGGCCTGCAGAGAACATACGCACACACATCCACTCAGTCACAGCAGGGTCGTGTGCATGGGAAGGCAGGAGGCAGCAGCATCCCCTGGGCCGGGGGGCCGCAACGCCTCTCCATCAGCTAGAGACGGGCCGGGGTGGGGTCCTGAGGTCTTCCTCACTGCTACGAACTGCAGCCACATACGAGAAGAGACACAACACAGAGTAGCAGATCTCATGGGCCTAGAGGGGAGAGAAAACCACAAAGGTCAACCTGACGAGATCATCCATCTTCAGGGTTGAGATCTGCCAGGTGGGAACGCCTGCCCTGAGCTGGGCTCAGGCCTCAGGGCTAAAGAGCCCCAAGCTAGCTCAGAACTGCGGGTGGGGGGCAAAGAGGTGTCTCTGCTCCCCCAGGGCTGAAGACTTGCTTCGGCTTCAGTTGAGTCTTTGCCACCTAGACACACTCGCCTCTCAAACCGTTTGTAATCCCCTCACCCTGAGCTCTCCTCGGCGGGCCCGCCCCCCCGGCTCTCCGAAGGTCCCCAGGGAGCCCTGCAGGCTTTGGTGGGTCAGAGTCAGGCAGCAGACTCACCATTGGTGTCTTGTACTTGTGGCTCACCACTTCTTTAATTTCAGGAACTAAAACCGGACGGGCAAGAGACAAAACAGAATGTTCAAAACTAAGAGCGATTGTGCCAGGCTCCCCCAGGCGGCAGCGCCCGGCACCAGGGCCCCGTTCCCCTCAGTGGCCTCTCCCAGTGGCTTAAACAGCTGAGGCTATGACAGGGCAGAGGCCATGGAGGGTGGTCCTGCCCCTGCTGATTGAGAGGAGACTGGGCCAGACCCCTCAGCTGAGGGCAGTGGTGGCTCATGGCTCAACGGCCGTGAGAGCCCCAGCACGAGACCAGCCAGGTCGCTGCTACTGTCCAGGACCCCCGCGGAGTTCCCAGGGAGGTGTTCCCAGATTGGGAGGGGAAAAGAGAGTGGTCCCCGGCCTGTGCCTCACCTTGCTGGGGCGCCAAGCACTCATCCCTGCCACCAGCCCCCAACGCTGGTGGTGGCAAGCACACTCCCTGCACTCCCAGCCCTGCACAGAGGGTCCTGAGGCTGGATAAGGAGGTAGCAGAAGACTAAACCCACCAGACCTGTACGTTTCCTTCCCTGAGTGGCAGGAGAGGCCCAGGCCTGCCTGTGTGAGGGAGAGCGTCAGAGGGCTCTGGAGCAGACACACCGAGCAAAAGGGACAGGCGAGTACAGCACCCAGGAGAAGTGACAGGGAGCATCAGGCAAAATACACACATGTCCACAGCCCAGAATGCAAGACCAAGAGTCACCCCTGCCCCAGCCATGCAGGGCTTCTGCTTGGCTGGAGGACGGAGTAAGGCCCCGGCTCGGTCATCCTCATGTCCCCTGGAGACTGGGAGCAGAGGGGCGTGGCATCCCCCTGGGGGCCAAAAAAGGTAGGATGTGAGTTGGCCACACCTTCTCCTGGCCATTGGGGGGTAGACTTGTACTGGGGGGCCAGGGGGACCTAGGGTTAACAAGGAACAAGCTCATCAAGGGTAGAGCAAGAAACCCAGGTCCTTCTCTTGAGTTGGAAGATCCCCCCACATCTCTCTCTAGCAGAAGAGAGAAGGGCGCGCACGGGGAGGGGAGAAGACTCGAGAGCAGTGAGCCAGCACGTGAGGGCGGAGGGAGGGCGGGAAGGAAGAGGGCGGGAGAGAAAGGAAGAGACAAACTGGCGATGTGAGCAGCTGCTTGGGTTGAAGGAGCCCGCCCCACCCGCTGCGGGCCCAAGGCAGGGCCGGGAGAGGCAGCACGAGCGAGCCGAGGTCACTTTACCTGCTGGAGAACGAAGGTTTTCATAGCAGCGATGAGGGGCACAAAAGAATGAAGCACAAACACAGCAGGAACTCAAAGCCCCAGGGCGAGGACCCCAGACCACTCCTCAGCATGGCTGGGCAGGCTGGCTCCCAGCGTCCACCTACCGCTGCCCCGGCTGCCCCTGAGGCCCGCTAGGCTCCTCTGCCCTCAGAGTGCACCTGCCTGTGCTGCCACACGCCCTCCTCTAGCGCGCTGGCGGAGGCCCAGGCGGCTCCAGGGCTGCGCGGGGCACTGAGCTGCCGGAGGGATCACAGCGGCGACAAGACATAGCAGAGCTTGGGGTGGCCCGGCTGCTCTGCCCCAGAACTTTCTGATCACTGGCTGGCCAAGCAAGGGAAAATGGCGCTGGTTCGCCGAGCCTTTTGAGCACCGCGGCTGAACGCTAACCGGCTGAGGCCACTTGCCTTTCTGAGGCCCATATCCTAGCAGCCACCGCCTGTCTCGTCTCTCTCCTTCCCTTCCTCAGCTCAGCGCTGCCCTTCCTTCCCTCTCCTTCCCTAGCATGGCTCCTGCCCCTCTTGACCTCTCTGCAGGGGTTCTTCTTCTTTCTGCCTCTAGCCCCTCCTCTGGAGCTCCGAGGTTTGAGTTACTGCCATGTGAGTCCAGACCTAAGAGCAAAATAGTGTAATTACCAAATTCCTCCAGGACAAAGACGCCTCGAACTGTATTGCACTTTTTAATGTGATTCAGCTCTATGAAAACCTGCAAGAGAGGGAGGGACGGGTAAGGCCCAGAGGCTCCTCCAGGGCCCCACAAAGCCCACTCCCAGCTACAGCCCCTCCCCCCCACAGAAAACCTATTTCCCAAAGGGCCGACAGAAGAATCCACACACACACACAACTCCAGAGTGCTGAGAAGCGAAGATAGCAGAAAGGGCATGTACCTTCCGCTCCTGGCCGGAGGAGAAAGCATGGGAGAGAAATGAAGGCGTTAGTTTTAATGGTCAAACCCACCCCAAAGGCCCCTCTGCTGGCCTGGGCTGCCCGCCCATACCCTGTGGCCGGGGGCAGCGCTTGTAGGACACGGTGCCCCTGGGGTTGCCCATTCAGCCCATCAGCTCTCTACCCTTCCATGCATCCTCCTCCGGCGCAGAGGGCTGGCACGGGTGCAAAGCTCCCCTCAGAATGCCCGTGGGGTGGGAGGTGTCGGTATCTTCCTTGCACCAGGATCCAGGCTCTCCCAAGAAGTGCGTGGTGATCACACCCACCACTGTGAGCACCGACTAGGAGTTCTGCAAGTACCACGTGTGATTCCTACACCTACGTGGCCCGGGGTGCTGCGTTACCCTTGCTGCAGAGCGGCGGACACTGAGGCTCAGCACGCTTGTTTACTCATGAATAATGAAGCTGGGCTTCCGATCCAAGTGGCCCTGACTCCAAAGACCGCGCCTTTCCCATGTGCTACCCCGCAGGCAGGACTCCAGCGAGCGTCCTGTGCCGCCCCAACTCCACTGACTGGTGTGTGGCAGAAGACGGACCCCAAAGCCATTATCTCATGATCAGTCGGGCTGACTCCCCTGCTTGGGAGGAGTTCTCCTGGGGGCAAAGCCTGAAACTACAGACCGGTCTGTACCTGCTTTTTGAGGTCAGGCTAAAGGGACTGCATTGCGGGCGGACCTGGAAAAGGGCAGGGCATCTGGGTGCTGTTTCGCCAGATCTCTGCAGAAGGTGAGGCACCGAGGAAGCCACAGCACTGAAATGGCCAGAAGCCTGCTCCCCAAAGAGTGCCAGCACCTTCATGGCCCAGAAAAGTACTTAAGTGAACTCCTCTTTGGTCTAACTCTAAGCTCCTAAATAGACCACGTAGCAGTATCCTGCCAGGACACCTGGGCAGCTGCTTCCCATCACACCAGAGCTGCCCACTAGATTCCTGAAAGACGGGGCACTAAGATGGCCAGTGGAGGGGGAAGGCCACAGGTCCAGATGGTCACCTCCCCATGCCTCTGCCTCCGGGCCAGGGGCTGTGCACACACACACACGGTGCTGGCTCAGGGCCTCAAGGAGCGGGACCCGGGGGCGGGAGGGAAGGCACTTGTGTGAAGAGTCAGAACTGGGAACGGACCTGGGATGATGCGCTGGCCTCAGAAAGGAATTAGCTTAAGGGATGTCCACTGAGAGAAAAAGTAACACTGTGTTAAAAGACCAAGAGAGAGAAAAAAAAAAGTCAGCATCTAAGGTGGAATCACAAGGAGGGAGAGATGTATCTTGAGATGCTCCCCAATCAAAAAAAGGGGAGTGGGGCCTGTGGAGCAGGGCACAGAGTGGGAACACTCAGAGGAAGAGAATGGGAAGAAGAATCAGCAGGAGAATAAGGCAAATAAACACACCCACTCCGGACAGAACAGGCACAAGCTACTCACACGCGCACACAAGCGCCACCCACGCCGGAAACACGCGAGCAGATGAGCTGGTCTAGACTCTCAAAGCACAACCACCAGCAAAGCACACCCTGGGAGGAGGGAGGCGGACGCCGCCACAAGGGCCAGGAGACGCTCCCACTCACACTGCGCTGAGTCTAAGGTGGAGGCGGCCCCGCCGCCTGGGCCCCTGGATTGCCTGGCCTCCTGCGAGGCCCCCTGCTGCGGCATCAAGGGGGTGCCCACCTCACTGCGCCCTCCCCCCTGACTTCTCGGTCCAGCTGTTCCAGTCCCACCACGAGCCCCAGAGACCCTCTCTCATGCTCACTGGGAAAGTGCTGGGGGCCTGGACACTGATCCTACTGCAGATGGAACAGGGCCAGGAAAGCCCTGTGCAGCCCCTTGCACCCACCTGGTTGTGCATGAACTTGAGATTGATCCCTTCCAGGGTGACCTGCAGCAAGCCCCCCTCGCCGGTCTTCATGTCCTGCACGGGGAACTCGCCACCCAGCTCAGGTCCTGTCGCGAGGGGGGAGGCTATCAGCTCCTGGGGAGGGGGCGTCCCTCAGCCCCGCATCCTCGCCCGCCCCGGCAGTGGCTCAGGGATGGCGCCTCACCCGGCTTGATGCTCTGCTGGCGGGCGGCGGCGCGCTCCATGCTGTCCTTCACGCAGTAGTACAGCTCCCGACACTGCGTGGGGAGAGCGGCCTGTCAGGGAGCCTCGCAGAGTCCCGCCCTCTGCGCCACCACGGCTGGGTGGGCCTGGGCCAGAGCGGCCTCCGCACCCCACACAGGAGCTGGAGGCCAAAGCGGGGCTCGGCTGCAGATTTGGGAATTGTAACCTTCCTGCGAGACTCCACGCTTGGCCCTCCCCACGCGCCCCCCACCCAAGCGACATTCACGGGCACCTTCTTAGTGTAGAACTTGTTGAGTTGTGTCTCGGAGCCATTGCGACGCCACAAGCACAGCACCTTGGTCTTGGGACAGTAGGTCATGTTGATGAGCTTCTCGTACCACCAGCGCTCGTACACTGTCCCGATGTTGCTGCGCAGCACCACGCAGTCGTCGCACACCTGCAGGGGCGCAGCCGCATGTTCCTCCCGCTCCCCACCCGGGTGCCTGGGGAGGAGGAGGTGCCCTCCCGGCAGCAGCCCCACTGCAGGCTTTCTGCCCTGGGCTCTCAGTCGCCCTCAGGTGGACACACAGACCCTGAACTGCTGGACGTCACTGCGCACCGGCTTAATGAAAGAACCGGCGCCACCGACCGGAGCATGTGGGCCCCAAAGGAGGCTGTTCCCCTTCAGTGTTTTACCATCTCGTCTGTGTTCTGGAAAGTACTCAGAGGAGAGATAGCTCACGCCCCCACCTTACCACCTTAGGGATCACCTCTGTGGACAAGGACAAGGGCAGAGGCAGGGGACGGTAGCAGACCTGCCCAAGGAGAAAAAATAGAACCACAGCATTTTCTAACCCTGGCTTGGCCCTAAATCTGTGTAAATCTTAAAAAATAATTAATTACGCAAGTGACACGTGGCAGGTGCTACTGCGAAAGGATTATACAATATAGGAGATAGAACTTAGAAGGCAAAGTCCCCCTCCTCTTCTCCCGCTTGCCCCCCGTCTGTCCCGTCTGTCCAACTACGAGGACACTGTCAACAGCACAGGGGCTAAGAGCACAGGGCCAGGCTCAACGCCGCCCTGGTTTAGATGAGAGCTGGGCCCTTACTAGGCCGGGTCACCTTAAGTGAGTTAACCTGCATCTACATTTCCTTACGTGCAAGATGAGGACAGGAACAACCTCATGGAGAGGAGGCGAAGACAAAACATGTTAGTGGACGTAAAATACTCAGAGCAAAGTCAGATGCATAAGAAAACACCCTAGAGTCAGCTGCTAGCATTTCAACAATACAAGACATAGAGTAATAGTTATCACGACTATGTTGACAATCCTCAAATCTTTCTCCAAGGGAGACCTGTCTTCCTGAGTTCCAGAATCTCTCTCTATCTGGATGTCTCATAGGTAGCACCTCAAACCTCTCATGTGCAAATCTGAACGTGATCTCCCCCTGGGCAAACTTCTCCTCCACCCCCTGAGCAAGTGGCATCGCTACCCACCTACCTCCTGAGCCTGAAGGAGGCTCCTCTGGCCTCTAACGCACGTTGAGTCCCACACTCCCTACCACAAATAACCCCGAACCCTCTTCCCCTCCTCCACTCTGGTCATTAACTCCCGTTTTCCCTTCAAGCCTAAGCGCAAAGGTCACTTTTGAGTTGTCGCCCATGGCTCTGAGCCCCTCACTAGTGTGTTCCCCTAATACCTGCCTCCCGGACATCCTCTCGTGCATCACACTTCACGACCCAGTTTGTTCAGTTATCTACTTCCCCATGAACTTGTCAACCCTGTAAGGGCCCTGGATACCATATACCCCTTCTTCTCTGCTGTGACCCCACTCTCAGCAGAGCACCTAGTATGTAACATGTGCTTCATAAATACTAGGTGGATAAATAAGGAACAGACCAGACTGACCACCTAAGAGCCTGCTAGAGTTCTGAAAGTTTTATGAAGAGAAAGAACAAAGCAGCAGAGAAGGAACTGGAAGCTGGGTTTAGCCTGCGGTTCTCGTCACGTGGAAAATGGAAAATGCGACTCCCCTTTTATAATCCTGTAAGCGCACTGTGTAAAGGAGGGGGCAGGTATTTGGGAGAGCAGGTGACTTCTAGGCCAGAAGGAGGATGAGGATAATGTGTAACCCCTGCCTTGAGCATTGAGGGGGCCATAAACTGATATAGTTCTGGGGATGGCAATTTGGCAGAATCTATCAAAATTTTAAATGCATTATAAGCTTCATTCAGAAATTTTATGCTAACAATCTATTCTACAGAAATTCTCATGTGAGTGTAAAAAGATTTGTTCAAGGATAGTCAACGAAACATTGCTTAATGAAACAAAACAGTGGGAGGCAGCGGTAAGATAAATGTCACATCCTTGTAACACCCAATAGCTGAGCATTCATTTCAAAAATAGAGTCATTTATATATAATTTGTGGCTACGGAAAGACATCTGCGATACATTAAGCGGGGAAAAAATTATATAATAATATTTGCAGTTTGATATCACTTTTTCTCAACCTAAGACAAAATTCCCTTAAGTTGCATTTATACAAATATGCATTTTTTAAAATCTGAAAGGAGTCACACCAACTCTTTAACAGCGCTTACCTCTGAGACATGGCACTGGAAGAAAGTGAAGGGAATCTTTCACTTTTTACTTTATTTCTATATGGTCTGCAATTTGTACTGCATATTGTACTTTTTTTTTTTAATTTTTTTTTTTTTTTTTAATTTATACAGGCACTGGGTACAGTCAGAAGTGCGGGAGGGTGAGAGGATTCACCAGAGCCAGAGCGGGGAGCAGAGCAGGCAGAAGGACCGAAGCACACTGCTGAGGGGAGCAGCGGGCGGCAGGAGAGGTCTGCGCGCCATGTGGGACCCTCCTCCGGTGGCCGGGGAGCAGCCGGGGATCGAACCGGCGCTGCAGAGGCTGCGGGCAGCTTCGCAACCCAGCGCTCAACCGCTGCGCCACCGGGGAGGCCCATGCATATTGTACTTTTGTAATGACAACAAACAGCAATAAAGATAATTTTAAAGTCTTTGCCAATTGCAGTCCAGCAAGGAGACTGCACTCTGAAAAAGATGCATCAGTTAACCTCCCAGTAGCTGGCACTTACTGTTGGGGACAGCAGCATCTCAAAGGAGGGGCAGCTAGGAGGCGATGGAGCCCTCCTGTATTCCAACACCTTCAATGAGGCACCCCCTCACAGGGGTGAGGGTGAGTCCTTTCTTTTAAGGAATCTTCTGGAGAGACAGATTTTTTTTTTAAAGGAAAAGGACAGAACAAGAATCACTGCCACCTCACTGCAGATGTCCTAGTTACTCTCAGCTCTGAGATGTCCAGCCAAATTCTAAAGCTTCAAGGTGACGTTAGCATGTACATTTCTGCTTCAGAGCAGAACCTCATGCCCGTTTGATAAACCACCTGTTCAAGAAGCTGTGAATGTAAAAACCAAACTCAACTAAACCAAAGTTGTAATAATTATTTTTGCTACTGTATATAGGAGTTGTATTTGGCTCCTACAATTACTTAGAGGAGGTTCATTTTATTTACTTTTTTAATAAATTAATTTATTTTATATATTCTTACATCATTTTTCATTTTTGCATTGTGTATGCAGTTTCATTTTGGTTATGATCCCCATACAATTCCCACCCCCAGGAGGTCCATTTTAGAATTAAAAACACAGAGATGAAGAAAACATGGCCAATTTCCTTTACAATCCCGGGGAAGGGTTTTTCTATTGATAACTATAACTGCAAATCCAAAAGCCATAAATTCAACTACATAACACATAAAGCTGATTAATTCAACGACATAAAAGTGAAACAATTCTGCATGGCAAAAAATAACAAATGCAGCAGCACACCGATGAGGAACTTTACAGTGGACAGATCAGGCTCCCGCTTCTGAACCCCCTGACCATGAGGACAGACACAACAGGAAATCCACAGCACTATCTAGGAAGTATTCTTGCCAAAATACTGAATCTGAGGGGCCTCTCTGGTGGTGCAAGGAATTAAGTCTCAGCACTACGAAGCTGTTGGCAACCACTGCAGCACAAGTTCAATCCTCGGCCAGGGAGCTATCCACATGACTCAGCAGACCTCTCCATGTCTCACCCACTGCTCCCCTCAGCAGTGTATTTCAGTAGATCCACCTCTTTTGCTCCCCACTCTATCTCTGATGAATCTTCTCACCACCTCCCACACCTTTGGCCTATACCCCAGCTCTTGTATGTATAAATAAATAAAAAATAAATCTTTCAAAAAAAATTTTTTAAAAATACTGAATCTGAAACCGATCAAACTTCCAGACTGAATTACTAGTTTCTGAGAATTACAAGTGATAGAGATGCAATCAGCAGAAGAGATGCAATCAGCAGAAAATCTAGAACATGAGTTAATCCATAGGCTAAATTTCCTCAAAAGAATAAATGGCAAAGTGGGAGGAAGACTATTTTAAGAGAACTGCAGAGTCACATCAAGCTAAGTTACAAATGCATTTCCCTCTTGAACCAGCAATTCCACTTCTGGGAATTCATAGATATACCTACACATGTACACAACGAAGCCTCATTCATAGTGGCACTACATGCGACAGCAAAAATATGGAAGAAATCCAAGATTAGTTAAATAAACACTGATTAGTTAAATAATTATGGTGGTGAGACACTCTGCAGTAGTAAAAAGAACAAGAAAGTTCTTTCTGAACTGATACAGAAGATCTCCAGGATATGTTTAATGGAAAAAAAAAACAAGATACAGAGCAGTGGATAAGATGTGCTACATTTCTATAAGGAGAAAAATAAGAATTTATATTCAAGTTTTGTTGTTTGTATTTTAAAAACCACTGGAAGAACAAAAGAAACCAATAAAAGTGATTATCTACAGGTGGAAGGGATGAAGTGGATGGGAAATTGAGTGATAGGGCAAAGAATGAGGGTGTGACCTTGAAAGTCTACTTAAGGACATTATGACTGTATCGTCTATTCAACATACATAGAAAAAATGATGGGAAACCATCTGTTATAGTCTCTTATTTGTATAAGAGACTGATGATTTAATCATAACTGGATCATAAAGATGAATGAGATAAAGGGGAAAAATATTCTGGCATCAGTTCTAGGAGTCTCTTACAACTCTCAACTGTTCCTCTGGGCTCCTTGCATCAGCTGGTACCTACCTCCATGAAAAAGATGTCGCCGTTTGTGTCTGTCCCGGCATGCACCACAAAAGTCTGCTTCTTCATGTGCCGGCTGCCACTGGAACGGATAGAGAGGTCTCGCCCATTCTGAAGAAAGAGAAGTCTTTGAGGGACATACACACACCCGTCCCCCAGAGCACTCTGGGCCAAGAACCCCCTAGACAGCAATAAATTCCTATCAGTTCCCTTGAGAGGATCATCTACTGGTCGCTGGTCCAGGTATGTGTTCTCACAATTTTTGTTCTCAGGACTCCTGTAACCTCTTAAAAATTACTGACAATGCCAGGAAGTTCATATCTACGTGGGTTAAAATGTATAGATATTTACATTCTATGAATTAAAACAGAGAATTGTTTTCTTTTGAAAGTATTATTTCAAAGTAATTTTAAAATTAATAATTCATTAATAAGTCAATCACATGATACTATCAATAACATATTTTTGATCAAATAATCGTATTTCCTAAAAGAAAAAGAGTGGCATCCTTTAATGTCTGACTTGATTTAAAAAAAATAGCTGAATTCTCATATCTGCCTCTGCAGTCGATCTGCTGTGATATGTTGCTTTGACTGAGGTGTATAAATAGAATCTGGCCTCCCAGATATGTATTTGGAAAGGGGAGGAGTATTTTAATAGCCTTTCCAGAAAATGAGGCATATTCTCCTTTTCATATTGTACTAAAACTCTAGAAGCAGCAGTTTCTTCAAGTTAGTTGCAATGTGGAATCTGCAAACATCATTAACATTTTGTGCTCTGCATTAAGGCCCATTTGTCTGCCTTACATTTTGAGTGGATCTTTTTTCTCATACTTGAGTAAACTTTTCAACTCACACATTGGTCATCTGGGAAATACTGGCTGACGTAGTAGTACAGCTCTCCCAAATGTTGACACATTTCATCTCACACCATCAAAAAATCACATTCACTGATCTCATCACCATGGATCTCATTAGAGAAGTCTTAACACTAGGAAGCTTCCAGTTCAAAGGCTTTCCAAAGTTCCCACTTTCATGTAAAAGCTTGAATCTCATCACTGGCAAACGGGCTTATTTTATTTAGACAAATGTCTACCAAAGACCTGCTCAGAATTAACCGTAATTTGTTAATCATTCTTCTCAGTAAAAATGAAGGCCCATAAGCAAAGCTGTCAGTTCACCTTGCTAGTCAAACTGTCGCAACCATTTTTCCGTGAAACAACCATGTTTTGGTTTGCAGTAGACATGCTAAGTAGTTTTCATTATGTCACACAGAATGTAAAAAAGATGTCTAATCATTGATTGATATTTTATAAAATTAAGATTTCAAAGGCTTCATCAAGGACATTCACAAGTGAAAGTGGCTTGTTTTTTGTTTTTTTTTTTTTTAAACTGTGAGTGTGCAGAGATGAGGATGGCAGCGGAGGAAGGTTTGGGGTGCTGCCTTCACTGTGTTGAAGTGCCGGTGGTTTCACTCCAACCCACTCGCACCAGCAGCGCCAATGTCAGCCCAGAGAAAAGGTCAAACATTTCAGTATTTTGATGAAAACAGTCTTCTGTGCATCCTCAGGAGCCCACAGACTGACTTAGCGCAGAGGCCGCCATCGCTGAACGGAGGGTTAACACCTTGTTGTGAAAACATATAAGCCAAGAAATGACCCGTGGGGAAGCCTGTGCATTAGGCCTCAAGGCCTGAGGCAGAGTGACTGAAAAGGATGGGGGAAGGGTAGCCAAAGGCACGATCCAGTGGGCTTACCAGGTCCGCCAGCTGATCGAGCACTTCATTGATTTGCTGGCTGTACATGAGCCCGATGTGCGACTTCCCCATCAGGCGCCTCACCTTCTTCCGGATGTCGTTCTTGTTTACCTGGAGAGCCCAGACAGGGTCTTAACCAGGGAGCTGCTGTCCCCTCACCGAGGTAGAGGGAAGGCACAAGTCAGCCTCCTGCTATCTGAGACGTGGGATTGGAGCGTGAGAGGAACATCCAACTGTGAGTCCTGCCAGTGGGCTCTGCCTCGCAGAAAGTGGCTCTGAGAGCAGGTCTGTCTCAAGCGCACTGGTGCTCAGGGGACACGTCCTCCCTACCCCCGACAATACCAAGGGAGTTACCCTCAAAGGGGCCCTGAAAACACCTCAATGTGTCATTCAGAATCAATGACTCAGAGTAGCGACATTCCGGACTAGGTGCAGCTGAGACACTTTCCCAACCTGAGCTACCTGGTACCCCTGGTGTCCCTGGTTCTTCTGCTCAACAGAGAAGAACGAGGCTTACAGCAGAAAAGGAGACAGACCAAGTGGGCCCGCAGGGCACTCTCTGCCTTTGGTCCAATCATGCCTTTACATTCAGAGAGGCTGGAGAGCAGGCGGGAAACACAGGGCCTCACTCTCTTCTCTTCTCTTCTCTTCTCCCCACCAACCCCAAACTTAGCCTCCCTTTCTGAGCAGGACTCTTGTTGGGTAACGTACTTCACCCACAGCTATAAAAACCAAGTACAACCAAGTTAAGCTAGAGCCTTCCATTATTATTTTAATGGAAAGCTCTTTTACATGTATAGAAAATTCTCTGATAAAGGGCTAGTGCAGAGAAGTGAATTCTGTGTATTCTTTCTGAGGTTTGAGAACCTACTACTCAGAAAAAAAATTTTTTTCTGCTGTTTTCTGTGGGAAGCTCTACTGCCATCCTGAAACTATTCAGCATAGGCAGTGCAATTAGAACTCCAAATAAAATGGAGTATGGTGGTGGATGGACTATGGTGGTGATACCTGATGGGGGTACCCCAATGTCACCTTGGATAAAAATAAATTGATTTTTAAAAACCTCAAAATAAACAACTGGTATGGAATTTCAGTCACTTTTACAGCATCCCTTAGCACAGCCCCCTGGAAGTTTCAGATAAGTGGATCATGTTGCACTGCAGAGAGGCCTCAGCCTGTCACTCAGGAAGAGAGAACTAGTGAGCTGCCCTAACAGCTTTCCAGCTGCCCCAGAACAAAGGGATGAGCTTTGCCCGGCCATCATCGCAGTGGCTGGGCGTGAGCAAAATCGACTCTACCTTCATCAGCAGCATGTAGGAGATGAGGTTGTGCAAAAGCGTGGCCAGCAAGCGATCTTCATCATCCTCCAGGCGCTTCCGGTCATGTTCCCCCAAGGACAGGTATCTGAGCAGGAAGCCAGGGACAAGTCAGCCCCAGGGTGGCAGCTCCCAGGGCCAGCCAGGCGGAGGCTGAATCGGCACTTTCCCTGGGCTCCCTAAGCCTCCCTCCTACCTGTCAATCATTTCCTGGGGCCCCTGGTCCATGCCCATGCCCTCTCTCTCCAACATCACAGCATCTAAGAACGCATCCTCCCAGAACTGCATTTGGTCCCATAAAGTAGAACGCTCTTTGCCTGTGTACAACAGAGGTGTTTTAGGGGTTTAACATATAAGGAATAAAGCTACAAAACCAAAAGAAAGAGTAAACCACCAAATAAAAGGGAGTCATTACAAATGCCACAGCAAAGGAAACCGGTCTCCCCACCCAGACCTAACGTTCCTGCCACCAGCCCCAGCTGCCTCTAGTGAGGCCCAGTCCCTCCCGAGATGGCAGGACGAACACAGCACGCAAAGAAAGGTGGTTACTTATAGAAAAGGTCTCCATAGCAGCATCCTCTAACTGGTCCCACATCGATCCTTTGTCCCTTCCTGCCAATTTGTGAGCAGGAAGGACCACGGTAGCAAGAAAGGGAAGAAAGGAAGACAGAAAGCAGAGGCTGTTGATTAAGACCAAAATTTGGCTCTCTCTAGTCCTCACCCACTGCTTTCCCCAGACCCGGTAAGTCGCCTGCTTCAGATACAAAAATACCCTTGAACAGCAGCACTGAGAGCTGCGGAACCAAGCAGCGGCTGTCCAGTGCTACCTGGTGCCCGGCTGAGCACAGCTTTCTTCCAGTGCAAGGGCCTTCCCAGTCTGTTTCTCACCTAGGAGTCCCTCATAGAGATAGACTCGCTGGCTTACATCTTCGGAAGAGCGAACTGGGCTGCTCACCAGCTTCTCCTTGACGCTTGGCTTCAAGCTATGGGCTTTACCCTACAGAGAAGTGATAGGTCAGTTCCCCGAGGTGCCAACAAGTAGGAGCAAAATAAACCAAGCAGCTCATTTAGAGGCTCACACACCCATTTCCATCTACTTGCAACCTATACCCCAGTAGCCCTGCTTTTGCTACTCTGCTTGCCTCAAGGATTTGACCAGAAGCCAATCTGATAGTCCTGCTTTCTGTTATCACTTTCTAAGTCATAAGTCAAGTGTCCACTTTGACTTATCTTTACTTCATTTGTCTCTATTAAGACTCTGTTCAGAAAAAAAAAAATCAGGCCACTTCCCTGCCGCAGCGTGACACAGCAGAGGGAACGCTGGGCTTGAAGGCAGATTGCCCAAGGGTCAGCTGCCTCCTCTTACTAGCCGTGCAATCTTAGGCATGAAGCTTTGCTTCTCTGAGTCTCACTTTCCCCTATGGTAAAAGGAAGGTTAGGGCCACCCTCAGAGGACTGTTACAAGGATTAAATTAGAAAATACACATAGAGCACTCAACAATGCCTGGCACATGGTTAGTGCTGGACAAATGTTAATTTCCTCTTTCCCATCATTTCTTAGAAATACCTGCCCCTTAGAAATAGCACTAATTCTGCAACATTGGACATTCTGTTCTTTTCTTTTTTTTAATTTTAGATTTTCAACTAGGTAAGAGGTAGGTTTTATACCCATTTCACAACCCCTGGAACAGCATAATCAGAGAAGCAACTGATAAAGGTTATCAGGCAAATACTAACTACTAGTGTGTCTAAATGCCAATCTCCTGGTTCACCCTCAATATTTTTGCTCAATGAAGCACACCGACTTAATGTCACTTGTTTCTAAATTAGGCTCTTCTGAGCCAAGAAATTTAGGTAACTGCTCTTGGCAGCTCAACTGTGCAAAGAACCCTTATCCACTGGCATGGGACAAGTAAGATGTGTCCCAGGAAGGTGGCATGAAAGGTTGTGCCTGGCTGAGTGGCTTCCTGCAAGAATGCTGCTCCCGTGTGTCCTGACCTCAGAATAAGAGGTGCAAAGACTCGTTAAAATTGTCTGTTTAGGGGCCTCCCTGGTGGCGCAAGTGGTTGGGAAGCAACCTATGGGGCTGTCCGCAGCCACTGCAGTGCGAGTTCAATCCCTGACCAGGGAGCTACCCACATGGCATAGCAGACCTCTCCTGACTTGCCTGCTGCTCCCCTCAGCAGTGTATTTCAGTTGCTCTGCCTGTTCTGTTCCCTGCTCTGTCTCTGGTGAATCCTCTCAACCCGCCCCTCCACCTCTGGCCTGTATTCCAGTTCTTGTATGCATAAATAAATCTATCTTAAAAAATAATAAATAAATAAAATGGTCTGTTTAGACGCTGGGAGTTAAAGCTCACTAACTGGAATGGCTCTGCTTGATCTTGTTCCCTATCTTAATTCTGGGATGTCACTTGCTCTATTAGAAACACATAAACAGAAGACCCTGGGATGGGAATGATCACCAAGGTTAAATAATGCAGCTCATTTAAATTTTATCTTCCATTCTTCTTTCAGACCAAAGATAAGGACCTATGGGCTCCTGTAAAGAACATCTTTCTCAGCTCCAATGAAGTGGCAAAAGCCCAGAGAGCTGACAGCCTTAGAAGTATGTCTATACTATTGATAAAATGTCAAAGGCATGAAATAAAAAGAATTAACTTAATTCCAACTGATCGTTGACTTATTGTGTGAAGCAAGGCAAGTTCTTTTTTTTCCCAAGGCTCTGCTCCCCTCACCTGTCAGAAGAGATTAGCCACAGCAACACCCAAAATCAAACTTCCTGACCTGGGAACCATGCCTTATTTACCCCTGTTTCTTTAGTATAGAATCTGTCACTTAGTAACTCACATAATTGCTGCTTAGTAATGAATGAAAACTTCAAATAACATCAGGAATATACAAAAAAGAAATGTTATTTTAAGACGCAACATATAAAGAGCAGGGATGAGAAAAAAAACTGAACCTGAAAGTCCACAGAATTAGGTAAACTGCAATGATGGCTGCGATGGCCCTGATATTGCCACGGAGGTACCCTGTGTCTCATTTTAACACGGGGGTTGCTGCTACATAGGATTCAAAGCCCTTACTGAACGTGTGGGAAGCATAATTCATCAATGATTCAGGAGAGGGTTCTAAAAGCCCTGGGTCATGGAGTCAAGAGACTCTGAAACAAGGAGCCTCCCTGGTGGTGCAAGAGGTTAAGTGTCAGCACTATGAAGCTATCCGTAGCCACTGCAGCACGAGTTCGATCCCCGGCCACGGAGGTGAACCACATGGCGCAGCAGTCCCCTCCTGTCTCGCCTGCTACTCCCCTCAGCAGTGTATTTCAGTAGATTGGCTTGTTCTGTTCTCCATTCTGTCTCTGGTGAATCCGCTCACCCCTCTCACCTCTGGCCTGCACCCAGCTCTTGTATGCATAAATAAATAAATCTTTAAAAAAAAGAGAGAGAGACTCTGAAAAAAGCTATGAACATTTAAAGCCCCATGTAGGACCACCATACCTTACTTCCACTTTTCCTTCCACTGCCTCCTAACCTTTCTTTTCTAAGCCCCCTTCCTTCCATTGAGAGATGCTATCCATTTGTTCGTAAACAAAACTTACAAAGATGGCACTGGTAGCAGAGTTAGTCTCAATTTCACTGTCGGACAAAGTGCCCCGAGAGCTTGCCAAGTGGGTACCGCCCTCGCCGCCTGGCCCATCACCTGCGTTGCTGCTCAGGTCACTGTCTGCTCCAAGGGTCTCCCCGGAACTATTACTCACCTGAAAAGGAAAAAAGGTAGTAAGGATATTCCCTGGGAAGGGTCCTAGATATGCCAGAGAGCTGTTAGAGCTCTCTGTTGCATAAATAAGTCCTGAATCTCAAAGCTGTGTTGGTGTCCCTCTGGAAGAACCTTCTTTACAAGAAGGGGAGAAGCCCTGGGTGAAATCTCAGGGTCTGATCCTGCATACACAGACCCAGGACAGGTAAACATCTCCACCTTGAGAACCAGGCTGACCTGAGACTAAGAGCAGCCTCCAAAGGATAAAGGAGCCTCCTTTTCCAAAGGGGGATTCACACCCCACCCACCAAGATGCCAGTGTGGTGTTCCCCTACCACGGTGCTAACTTCAGAATCCTGACTTGAGCTTCGGATCATGACAGCTGGACTCACGCCGATGACAGAGTCGAGATCGGTCCTCTGAAACAAGACACAGGGACGCAGACTCATCACAGAAGGTTTCCAGTCTAGTCTCAATTTTCCTAAGAAAGACTTATCTTCTTCCTCCTCCCCACCCCCACCCTTCTATTATTACCCCTAGAAGGTCATGAGAAATTTGGTTTTTCCACGAATATACAATATATATAACTTCTATAATAAAAATATAAACATTAAAGAAATACATGCTCACCTTAGGAAATATATGCAAGAACAGGAAATAAAAAGAAGTCATAAACGTATGACCTCGTTAACTACTATTAAGGTTTTAGTACATTTCTTTTCAGTCTTTTCCATATACATGTAAAAAATAAATTTTGGGGTCTTACTGTACAGAACTTTATAAACATTTTCCAAGTCACTCAATCCTTGAAAGTCTCACTTCAGATATCTATTCTATGTTATTTTAAGATTGTTGTTTCATTTCTCTCTCTCTCTCTCTCTCTCTCTCTCTCTCTCTCTGTGTGTGTGTGTGTGTTTGTGAGAACTTAAAGAAGTGATCTGAGATGGCAAATTTAATGCTCACATTTCTCAAGTTTGTCACAAACCTGGGAAGCAGATGTCAAGCTCACACCGCTGTCTGCGCTGATCTGGGACTTTTTCTCCTCCGTCTCACCAAGGTCAAAGGCAGGTTTGATTACCTCAGGCCCTGAGTAGGGGAAGACTTCTGTGACTCAGTACAGAGGCTGGGGCAGACTGGTGAAGGGCGTGGGACGGCAGCACGGCCTGCCCCGCACGTCCCAGGCACCTTCCCAGAGACTGCCACGCACCGGCCCCGTGGACGAAGGCCTGGGCTGCCTTAAGAACCAAGTAGGGCAGATAAGACCTGGCCTCAAGGGGTTCTGCAATCATCTTCTCAATCTGAGAAAATTCTTACCCATCATCCTAAAACAGAAAAGCTCTGCCAACAACTGTCCACACCACATTCCACGGCACTCAGAGTCGGGGCCTCACTGGTGCCGGACACCATTTGAGGATCCCCAGGCTACTCAGTGCTTCCCAAACAAAGGTGTGAGAGGAATAAGGAAAGGACAGGCCCGGTGAGTGAAGAATCACAGTTGTTTCAATGGACACTGCCTACCCCCACCCTACGACTCCTACATTTGAGATAAAACCACCCTCACTGCCCCCCCCCACCCACCATGGTATGGCAGAAGGACAGAATGACAGAAAGCAAGAAAGCGTGCCTAGGGCAGCCACCAGAGTTGGGCAGCTACAGACTCAACACAGAGGGACAGCAACCATCTCTGCCAACTGTGCCCACAGGCCTCCTAACCGGTGCGGGAGGAATCAGTCAATGAGGGGCACTGAAAATAGCAAACGTTCTCCCCACCATCGCTGAAGCAATACGGGACCAAGTTCTAAGGGTTTTTACTCAGTAGACGCCCTGGTTACAGCCTGATTGCTATGAGGGGGGGATGAAGCAGCCTACAAGCCACAGACCCGTGAGTCACAGACCACCTACCTGCTTTTATTCCAAATATCCCCCAAGAACAAATTTGGGGTGGGGCTGACAAAGTGAGCCTGCCCCAATGGGCCTGGGGAGTTGGCAGGTATGGGAGATGTGGGAACAGGAAGGGGCATTTGTTCCTTACTCTGTTTTTCCAAAGCTTTTTGCCTTTTCACTTCCTGGTGCTTGTTCCACAATTCTACCCCAGATGCAATGCAAGCAGGAGAGAAAGACAGAGAGAGTCAGAGACCAGTCAGGCAGACGAAATGGAAACCCACCCACCCGAGTTGATTCCGTCTCAGGTACAGGGTTACAAACCAAGAGATTAAAAAGATAGCTTCATTGTGGGCTCTTCTCCTGAGAGCCAATGTCTTTCCCCCAGCTCATGAACTAAAGACTCCAGAACCCCCACAGTGCTAGAGCTGGAAGCGCCCTGAAGCGAGCTCCTGGCGCAAGGAAACCGATCCCAAAGAGGCTGGAGCTCAGGACCCTGTCACTCAGGACCAGGCAGACTCCCCTGCACCAGGCGTCCTCTGCCAGAGGAGCACGTGACGGCACCTTCACAGCGTCTGGTGAGACAGAGGGTGGGTCCAAGCAGCCAGAGGGCCTCTTGCAGAAGCATGAGCGTCAATCTGTTCAATTCACTGAATGGAACAGAGGCTACTCGTGCAGGCAGTCAGCACCCCTGCTTATCACTACCCACAAAACCAACTCACCTTCAGAATTAGTGCCTGCCCTAGCGAGAGACCCCTCCTGAGGGATCATCTGGAAAAAAGCCTCTGGTAGAGGTGAGGAAACATTACACGGTCAAGAACAGAATAGTTGGGGTAAAGGAGAGAGAACACTAGAGACTAGCCCAAGGTCCTCATTCCCAGATAAAGAGACAGAGACACTGAGAGGGCAAATAATTTACCCGACATCCCCTTCTTAGTCAGGGGCACACATGGGACTAACACTCCAGACCTCCAGGCTTGCAGGTCACTACTCTTTATAGTACATCACATCAGGCAGGAGAGAGGCAGAGTTGATGAGCTCTAGGACTCCCTGCTCCCCTAAAAAAGAAACTGGCTCCTCATTACCACTTACAGGAGCAAAGACAATTGTTTAATGGTCACGGCAGAGGCTGCAGCTAAACGCCTATTACCCAGGGGCTGAGAACCAGTCAAGAAAGAGACAACTTAGATGATGCATGGTCAAGCAGGGAGCAAGCCAAACAGAGGAGACAGCAGAGAACTCCCTGAGGCCCTGCCTGGGTGGGAGCAGAGAAGCATCAAACACAAGCAAGCTCTTAAGTCCAGGAAGGAAAGGGTAAAAGGAAAGCTCACTCAGAAAACTGTATTGAGGTACAGAACTCAGGGAAATACAATTGCTAGACACGCCCTAGAGGAGCAAATTCAAGGGCAGTGTGATGCCTGAATGGGGGAGAATTTCCTTATAGCTTCCAGGAGCTCATGCGGCCTCTCTGTCAGAAATCCAGATGTAAATAAAACCTCCAGATGTAAATAACGCCTCTCTGGGCCAGCTAGGCCAAAGCTCCATCTTCCTCTGAGATGCAGGGGAGGGCGGTCTATGCAGCCCAAGAGATGAAGAAGTGGAAAGAAATGCCATTACGAATGGACACAGACCTACTGCCCTCTCCAGAAAGCAAAGCATGGGGAAGAGAAAGGCAGGATTCTGGATGAATTGAAAGGAGGAAGAGATATTTAAGAAACCAGAACCCCTTCATCCTACCAAACACGGGGATACATACCAATAGAAGCAACAAAATTCTCTTCCTTTAAACTTCTGGTGTCCAGTTCCTTAAGGCCCCTTCCTGCAGCGCTTGGTGCCCGAGGTCCCAGCTGGGGAACCCTCAGCTGTGCCATGGCCTTCGGGTCCCCCCGCCCAGCCAGGCCAGGCTCCTTGCCCACGGGGGTATTTACGCTCTCTGTTGGACTTCTCCTCCGCTTGTCTGGTTCTGAGAAGGATTGCATATAGGAAGAGGTCAGAAAGAAGAATGCGTGGGGAAAGGGAAGGAAATGAGCAGGGAGGGAGAAGCAAGGATAGGGGAAGAGGTGGATGGAAGAAGTGCAAGGAAAAAGCTGACATCTCATATTTTATGATGAAAAAATACCCACGACAGAGGAACAGACCCTAGAAAATAAAACCCCCACACCCGGCGGGAAGCAGGTGGCGCTGGGAAGCTTGCCACGGGGACAAGTTCCCTTTCTTTTGGGGACAAGTGGGAGAGTGGGACTGGCAGGCTGCGGTCAACACAACCCCTACCTTTACTATAGTAGTGGGTCTGTGCGATCTCCAGCAGCCCGAAGATGCTGGCCATGCCCCCCAGGCCCGCGCGGGCATAGGACTGCTCCAGGCTGAGGACGGTGCACTTGAGCAGGTCCAACATTCCTTTGTACACCTTTCGGCTGATCTCCTGCGACAACAGCCCAGGGGCCAGAGTCAGCAGAGATGCCTGCGGTGTCTGCATCCCTCTTCCCTCTTGATTCCAACCCCCGAGCCCAACACTGACCACATCGGGGATGACATCCTGCCGTGCGTCATCCTCAGACTGCACCGTGCGGCTCAGCTTGCTCAGGACAAACACCCGCAGCTGCTCGCTCTCCAGCAGCCGCCGCACCTTTTTCATGTTGAGCCAGCCAACTCCCTGGCCGTCCAGCACACTGTGTACCACGTCCTTCAGGAACTGCTGGTTCTCACTGCGGGGTGCACACACCGCTTCTGTGGGCTCCGGCTCCTTCCCAGAGCAACCCCCTTCTGCCAGACTAGTTCATCCCCAGGGCTCAAACACCAGGCCCGGTCTCCAAATGCCCAAGTCCCCGGCACCCCAGATGGCCGGGTTTGCCAAGTGCCCTCCACTGCCGTGTCACCCTCAACACCGTGAGCTACTACTGCCGCCTGGGGGTTGAGTCAGCATGGGAAGCACGAATTAATTACATCTACCCAACTGAGCGCTTCTCTTCCTTTCTTGAGCATACTAAAGTCGGTACAGAAATCACCACCTCTCCAAGAACTGTTCAAACAGCTCCGCCATTTATTACCTGGAATTGCTGGACCGGCCCTGGGGTGACGGAGGCTCTCTCTTCACCGTTGGACTGTGTTTGATGACAGAAGACTTCTGGTCCACCAGGGCCCTCCTGTTTCCTACAGCCGGGAAGGAGGAGTGAGAGACAGCACTGCTCTAGCTGGTGGCTCGTGCGAGCGCAGCCCTGGGCAGCCACGCTCCACACCCATGCCCCAAAGGTCTGGGCAAGGCTGGCACCGGGGCATCACACACAAGTAGAAATCAGCTACGGCAATGTGGAGGAAGTGGGGAGGGTGGCTCAGACCACTCCACATGCACCAGCAGAACGCCCCAGAGCAAGCACAGGCGTCACGGGGGCGGGGCAAGGCAGGTCACTCATGGGGTGCAGCTGGCTCCATGAGGAGGATGGCCTCAGGCAGGCACAGAAGATGCTAGGAGAAAAAGATCATGCACAGCTCGCAGGCAAGACCCACCTTCACCACTCCCGGGGCCGGCTTCAGTAACAATCTCCATTAGAGTATTTAGCCCAAATACTGGGACACAAAATACACAATTAGTAGGTGCACCACGATACCGCAACCCCTGTACCCCTCAATGGAGCTGTAAGCCAGATGATCTGAGCATTCTCCCAAAGCTTAGTGCACATAACCTTGGTTCTGAGGCACCTCAGAGCTGGTCAAGTGACCAGGAGACAACCAAGGCTTTAGGGAAGATCATCCTTACGACGGTGGCGTCTCAAAGTCAGGGGCAGGGCAAGGGACACGGGGAGCCTTCTGGTACTCGACAGGCACATGCGGGGAAGAGGGACCTCTGGCTTCACGGAACACCTAACGTGGGGTCCGGAGGGTCTATGGGTGTGCAGGGGGAGAGATTGTCTTGCAGATGCTGTGGTGGGAGTGGAGTGGGGGTGTGAGGATGGGAGAAGGGTGGGGGTTAAGTGCGGCAGATGAAGTGAAGCATCAGCATGCAGCGAGAGTGGCAGCAGCACTCCCTCTCCACTGTGCCCTCAAGGGCTGCCAGCGACGCTCATGCCTATCTGTGCCTAACCTGCCAGCACAGTGTGCATCTGTGCCACTTCCCTACCCCGGAGCCAGGGTGCCCTTCTATCCATCTACTCATGTTCCCATCCCCACCAGAGAACATTCCCTAGATTCCTGAGAGTTAAATCACTGGGAAGAGAGGTCCCCAGCGGCCTAGAGGTTAAGTCTCAGCGCTGTGACTGCTATGGCCGGAGTTCCATCCCCAGCCAGGGAGCTGACCCACATGGTGAAGCAGACCTCTCCTGTCTCGCCACTGCCCCCCTCAGCAGTGTACTTCAGTACGTCTGCCTGTTCTGCTCCCCACTCTGTCTCTGGTGAATCCTCTCACCACCCCCCACCGCTCTGGCCTATACCCCAGTTCTTCTATGCAAAAAAAAATAAAATAAAACAAAATACACGGAGCTGCTTCTCACTGTGCTTCCTGTCATGATTAAATATTTCTGCACGCTATCCAAAAAAAAAAAACAGACCAAAGTCACAGTAAATTCAGAGGAGCCCCTCAAACTGTCAGAGATTATAAATGTAAATCAACTAAGGTCTTGACTACCCTAGATGCCAACCGATACTACCTGGCCTGCTCACAGGCCCTAAGCTGATGTGAAGTCAAGGTGACAGGCCTGATGATAAGACCGCCAGGCTCTGCCTGACCCTCTGGCTGGTCAGCGCCCCAGGAAGGAGGCCATCCGCAGTTCCAGCCGCAGGAGCTGGCACGTGGCTGGCAGCAGCTGATGCTCCCTTGTTAACGAGCTTCCTCTGGCAAGTTCCCCTGAGAAGCAACCGCCCAGTTGCCACCATCCTAATGATGTGATGGGGCTTTTCTCTCTAGCTACAAAGACAGTTTCCTTCTGAAAACCAGCAAGAGGCGATGATGTGTGGAGGTGAAAGCCATGAGAAGCCACGTGAGGGGCAACAGCCAGGTCAAAGGAGCCATCACACGGGGGCTCCTGACAAGCACCCACAGGCCTGACGTTCTTCCCAGAGGACCCTGGTGTGGTGAGAGGAGGGCCAGTGTCACCTTTCAGACTGGGGAAGGGCGTGGTCTTCTCGCGGGCGCCTTTGGTGGGCAGTGTGAGGTTTGAAAGACTGAAGCTGGTACCGTGGTTCCGATATAGGCTGCCTACCGAGAGGAGCGGAGCAAGGAGTTAGGGTAGGCAGACATCCTCTCTGCCTCCCCACACACCTATTCCCAGTGGCTCTGAGCAACCTTAGTAGGACCAGCCCTAACTCAGGACAAACAATAGCCATTGCCAGGATGGCTCAAAACCCAGGGATAATGTTGTCTGGTTACTTCCTCTCAGTGATCGCCAAGTCTCTTACTAACTCAGCTACATGCTTCTGGGCTGAAGGAGGTGCTGTCCCTTTCTGGCTTCTGAAAAACTCATACTTGTCATCAAGGCCTGTGTTGGCTCCCCAGCCCCTCGTCTGCCTTCCATTGCTGACACTACCCCCATTTCTGGAAGTAGTCTCCCCACATAAAAGCCACCCTCACACAGATCTCACAGCATCTTCATGAAAAATTCTTCCCAGGCAAAAAAAATTAAACCAAGTCAAATCTGATCAGACTATTTCCGTAAAATACACATACAATTAGATGATTTTTAATATAATGTTTATTTTTAAGTTGACCGATGATCTTACCTAAAACAGACGCTTCCAGGTATAACCTGTTCCTTCCTCCTTTATTGACCTCCCCTAGAAAGTCCTTATTCACTATCACCCAACCGACTCACAATGGACTTGATAATGCCAGATCTGGCTAGATAATGCCAGCTCTGTCCTACCTGGGAAGTTCGGAGCAGCATCTGCCCCGGCCAGGCCCCCTGGAGAGAAGGTGGGACAGAGGCATGAGAGAGGCACTTACTGGCAAAAGACACGATGCCCCCGAAGCCCTCGGTGCTGTTGTTGGAGACGGTGGAGGTGGGAGAGCTCGCTCGGGAGTCTGACTCTGCATCTGAGTCGCTGGCCAGTTTCAAGCTGTTGGGCCGCAGCAGCTTCTGAGCCCTTAAATGCACAGGGGTATCTGTGAGCCCAGGCCAGGGTGCCTACCCTTGGGCATGTGGCTGACACCACCCTGTAGTCACCATCCCCTCCCCACAACTCCAACACGCCTGGATGAAAATGCCACCCTCCTGGGGTGTCAGGACCACGAGAGCATTCAGTCTTCTGGGACCTTCCGATTAACCCTCACCCAGGTTCACTGTGGTGAGGTCCTTCAGTGACCCGTCTAGAAGGAATTCCCAGGCTCTCACCGATTGCCATTGACATGTTGGCTGAATTGGGGAGTGTAACTCTCCCCCTGCTCATCATCATCTTCCTCAGGGGGAGAGCCATACTGGGGCTCGAAGTTGGGACTGTCATAGGGTCGCCGGCGCACTGACCCCTCTCCGGGACGCCTGTCCACACTTGATTTGCCGGTGCTGGGAGGTGCGGGGGGAAGGGGCTTGGAGCCGCCTGCTGCTGCTTTATCATCCATCTCTGCTGAGTCAGAAGGTTCCTGAGGGCCACATGGGATAAAAGATGGTCACCGGTGCCAAGTGACGCTGGCCCATAGTCTCACTTTGGCAGGGCCAGGCCTGTCAGATTACTATTCTCAGGAATGTGAGGGGAATAGCGGTGACCCCCACGTGTTCTGTGCCTATCAACTATGCAAGGAGAGGGGTCTAGCTAAACCCTGACAAAGCCTAGAGATCTCCTTCTGGTGTCAAAATCCTATCTCACAGGCTCTGAGCTATAGGACTCAGGGAGGGAAGATGGGAGATCATGGAGCAAGAAGCAAATCAATAGCTTCAACATAGCTTTCTTAGCAGAGCTGAGGCCCCACCCCAAGTGACAGTTCTCACATCTCTAGCCCTCCAAATCCTCACGTACGGAGCTGGCCCCACGGATGATGGTGCTGGAGCTGCTGCTGGCGGTGGTGCTGGAGCTAGAGCACAGCGGGCGGTTTTCCTGAGAGTTCTCGCTGTCCGGGCCCGGCTCCTCTGCTTCCTTCTGGTTCTGCAGCTCGTCAATCTCCACCTCACTCGCATCCCCCAGTGCCGCATGTGTCAGGGGATCCACATCTGCCAAAAACCAAGGTACAGACCACACCATCCTGGAACCCCCGCTCTGCCCTGAGCTGCCCGTTTCCCCAATACACTTACTAGGAGTATCACCATTGATGTCGCACTTCATCATTTCACTGACAAAGTCACCAAGGGAAGAATAGGAAGAGCTTGAGTCATCATAATCCATACTATCACTGCCACTGCAGAGCAAAGAGCATTAAAAATAGGTATGAAACAGAAAGACAGGGAAAAGAATCAGCAGTCAGCACTAGGAAAAATTAAAGGGGCGCACTCTATATTCAGGGTAGGGGATAAGATAAAATAAGGATGCTAGCAAAAAATATCAACTTAGATATAATCCCAGGCTTCAGAGACAGACGTCTGCATCCTGAGAGGTGCGTACGCTGGGCTTTGCTGCCCTGGGGCTGCTCACCTGTCGTCGGTCGGGTCCGAGTCCGAGTCGCGCTCGGGCGGCACGCTCAGCGCCTCGGCCAGCTGGGAGTTGCCGTCATAGACGCGGTAGTGGATGGGCTGCAGCTGATGCGCATACCACTTGGGTTTATCGCCAATCAAGGCCGGATCGAACATGTCTATCCAATGAAAAAAAGCATGGCGTTAGCAACGAGGGGGAGAAGCGAACAGAACATAAGAGAAGGGTAGGAAAAAACTCTAGAGCAAAACAGGAATGAGAGAGGCAGGTCAAAGATTAGAAAGGAAGACGCAAAAGGGAAAGTAAGGCAGAGGCCGCAAGGGAAGGGACCAGCAGAAGGTGGGCAGGGCAGAGGCAGGTGGACTCACTGTTGTGAATTCGCTGAAAGGCGTAGTTAGTGGGGTTAAGGATCCACTCTCCAAAATACTCCACAGCCTGCGTCCTGGCCAGCTTCTCAGCGAAAGGAGTCTGCCGGGGACGTGAGGCTAGAAAGGAGCCAGCTTGAAAAGCTACCACCGGCCGCGGGAAGAGACGCAGGGTACGTGTGTGCATCTGAAAGCCCTGCAGCACGTTGGGGGAGTTGAAGAAACGGACCATGGCCACTCTGGGGAAGAAGGGGATGGTGAGATGATCCAAGTCCCACACCCTGCAGGGTAAGGGTCCCTGAGATCCAAGGTCTCAGACCACCCCCCGTCATTTAACAGGCTCCCAGCACTGGGGGAAAGGCAAAGAATCAGCCATCGCCTTCTTTACTCAAGGCCTACAAGGTCTGAGAATGTAAACTATTTCTTCTCTTTGCTGTTCCCAAGGTGGAAAACAGCCATATTTGTACAGATAAAGCAGCATACATGTTTTATATACAAAGACACTCTGGCTCAGTTAGGTAGCCTGCCCAAGGTCACTGAGGGGCAGAGACCGACTCTAGAGCTTATCGGTGTCTGGTCTGCTGGGCCTACCTGGTTGCAACATCCACAGAGTCCACATCATTGCCATAGATGAGCGGGTTGAATTCGGTGGAAGGTGTGGACTGAAGGTCACTGGAAGGCCTCCCCAAGAGAAGGGGGATCTCCTGGCCCTCATGGAATTTCTCCAGGTTGAGGATGGGCTGGGTGTTCAGACTCATGCTGGCAAGGGCCTGGGGGACAACAAGAAACCCCACATGGGAGAAGGGCTCCTGACAGCTAGGGGAGATGCCTTGTCTCCTAGGGAAGAGCCGTCAACTTTGATATAAGAATCCAAAATTACTTTTTGCCTTTGAAATTTTCATTTTATCTCTCCTCCCCCCTCCATTTAAAAATTTTATTTCAACATAACCATGCTTACCAGAATACAAGCATATTGGTTGACAGAATGCAATTTAAGTTTAACGTAACACTACACAATTTGGACCAAGTACTGGGTACATGATTTAAGCTTTTTAAAAAACAAGGATTTGCAATCTGGTTTACTTTTCCTTTTTTTACAAATGAACATAAAAGATCCTCCACCAAATGCTGCTCAAGCAGGCAATAACCTTGAGACATTAACCTTTTTTTTTGCCTTTGAAAAATAACATGTATTACACTGTAAAAGTTTAGAGTGTTGGTGCAACAGACCACCATAAAGCTTCAGTGTCAGTTTACAAAGTTCAGTAACTATGGATGTTGAAAAGGGTTGGAAAGTTTAAGTACAGTTGAAGCTATAAAAACAATTTGATTTAGTTAGTCATGCATGTAGATTGCAAATCTACACAACCAGGTAGACTCCGAACATTAGAATCCAAACATTTTAACTTTTTTTTTAAAAAGAAGTTATGGTGTTGTTTTGTTTTTGTTTTTGTTTTTAATTTATTTTATTTATTTATGCATACAAGAGCTGGGGTGTAGGCCAGAGGTACGGGGAGGTAGGGGAAAGGGTGAGAGGATTCACCAGAGACAGAGGGAGAGCAGAACAGGCGAGACAGGAGAGGTCTGCTGTGCCATGTGGGTCAGCTCCCTGGTCAGGGATCAAACTTGTGCTGCAGTGGCTGCTGACAGCTTCATAGCTTTGAGACTTAACCCCTTGTGCCACCAGGGAGGCGCCATTTTAACTTTTAGAAAAACAATCTGAATTATATAAATCTTTCACTAAAGACACCTTGCTCGAAGCAACTTGATCAAATCTGAAGTCCAGGTCAATAATTTTCAAATTTATTTTAGCCATAAAATCTTATGTCTCAACTGAAATCTATGTGGAAATTAAAACAGCTAAGACACGTAAAAGCACGGTTTCTCTGAAGGACACAGGAACCCTGGGCCTCACAAGCTCAGTGCTTCCCATCTAAATCAGCCCCTAGGAGGGCCCACGGGCAATGAAAAAGACCAGTCCAGACTAGTAGTGCTTCTTCTGTTTAATGAGCACAGGAATCACCACTGAGGAGACTGTTAAAATGCAGATTCTCAATCAATATGTATAGGGTGATTCTGCACTTTTCACAAATCCTGGCAATGCTAATGCTACTGGTCCATGGACCACACTTTGAGTGGGAGGAGTTAAGAATACAGGATCAATGAGCCCAAGGATCTTAGCTTCCATAAACAATTCAATGTCATCCCATATAGCAATATCTCCAACTCATTAGTCATAAAGCAAGGAAAGACAGCTAGAGGACTTTCTGAACTTGCAATCCTCATCAGACTCTGCAGTAACAAGGTATTGTGTTACATCAGCAGTGAAGCAAGTGAAAGTGAGAAGGATGGTACAAAATGACCCACTTAAATGCAAACAGACAGCATCTAGAGGTAATGCTAAGGAGCTCAGACAACACAGAGCTTTCTGAAGACCCTTCAAATGTGAGCAGGGATTCCTAAAGGGAACTACACAACTATCTACTGGGGTCTACATGACACATACAGCAGGGCGAAGGAATGGGTCCTTGTCTCATTTTACCTTCAGGTACTGTGTTCAGCATGGAGAAGAAGAAAATCAATGAATGAAAAATGCATTTAAAGGATTACTCAAAGGCCTCCCCGGTGGCGCAGCGGTTGAGCGCTGGGTTGCGAAGCTGCCCGCAGCCTCTGCAGCGCCGGTTCGATCCCCGGCTGCTCCCCGGCCACCAGAGGAGGGTCCCACATGGCGCGCAGACCTCTCCTGCCGCCCGCTGCTCCCCTCAGCAGTGTACTTCGGTCCTTCTGCCTGCTCTGCTCCCCGCTCTGGCTCTGGTGAATTCTCTCACCCTCCCACGCTTCTGACTGTACCCAGTGCTTATATAACTAAACAAAATAAATCTTTTAAAAAAAATAATAAAATAAAATAAAGGATTACTCAAAGAAAGGAGTTTTTGAAGGAAGGATTCTATAGGGACCTAGAGATCAAGCCAGGAAGAAAATACAAAAGAAGTCAGACTGTCCAAACTACAACTCTCTCTACAAGGCTGAGTGAACACTACAAGGCCTTAAAGAATGGCAGATGTGACAAGAAACAGAAAGCAAAGGGTTAAGCATTATGGAGGAGGAGGCATACAATGAATCAGGAGGAATCTGAAAAGTCTCTTTGGACAGTCACCCTGCCACCCAGAAAAGTCCACCTAAGGCTAAGAAAGTCTGCTCCCCTTGAAGTCTGAGTGGAAACTGGCTCTTACAACAGTCTGACTAACGCGGCCTCCGCATGTCCCGCTCCCCTTGCTGTCTTCACTCCTCACGTACCTGCTTTTTTTTCTTTTAAAGACTTACTTTATTTATTTATGCATACAAAAGCTGGGGTGCAGGCCAGAGGGGCAGGGGGTGAGAGGATTCACCAGAGACAGAATGGGGAACAGAACAGGCTGAGGGGAGCAGTAGGCGTGACAAGAGAGGTCTGCTGCACCAGTGGGTCACCTCCCTGGCCAGGGATCGAACTCGTGCTGCAGTGGCTGTGGATAACTTCATAGTGCTGAGACTTAACCTCTTGCACCACCAGGGAGGCATCTCATGTACCTGCTTTAAATGCTTTTTCAACTCTAAGGATTCTGGTTCCGGCAGGATAGGGAGCACTTCCGCATTGGTGGGGGCAATCACCTGCATCAGAAAGAAGATAAAAGCACGATGTTAGAATTGGTTGCTCAGGAGTTTCTCATACACAAAGATAAGTAGCATGAATAGTAATCTATATATACAATTTATTACATAGATATGAATATATATGTTACACACATCTATAAGATGCTCACATATAGATGTGTATGATACACATACACACCTAGGAAATACAGGTAAATGTTATTGGATTTAACATGTAATAGGATTACAGTTTTTATTTTCTTCTTTATAATTACCTTTTAATAATTCCTTTTTTTCCTTACATTGTTTTTGTTTTTTGCATAGAAAATTGGGGGTGTAGGCCAGAGAAGCAGGGGTGAGAGGATCCACCAGAGATAGAGTGGGGAGTAGAGCAGGTGGATTGACCGAAACACACTGATGAGGGGAGCAGCGGGCGAGACAGGAGAGGTCTGCTGTGCCATTTGGGTAGCTCCCTGGCTAGGGATGGAACTCAGGCCTTAGCAGTGATAGCACTGAGACTTAACCTCTAGGGAGACCCCTAATAATTCTTATATATACCTAGACTTCTTTCTTATGCTTATTTGCACTTTCTAATGTTATATAATGAACACACAGAAGGGCTTACTACTGAAGTTTGAATGTACTCACACTGCAGGATGTCAAAATAAATTTTTCTACAGTCTACGCCAAAAGACAGCTTCTTACTAGAAACCACAGTCCAGGAAAACCATCAGCTGATCCACAACTCATGTAAGGGCCCCACAATCACAACTGCCCTCCTGTTCCTGGAAGATGTAGGGGGCAGCACTTAATTCTGGCAAAACTTAACCCAGAAATTCTTTGAGTTTAACCCAGGGTCTGTTAAACCAATAAAACAAATGTAGCATTTTAAAAGAAAGTGTCAACGAGTCTCACAACAGAAACCACCCACCAACTTAGGATCTTCTTGGGAGTAATCTAGAAAAACAAAACACAATCCTATTCTGGACTCTGTAATGCCTCAGTCAAGAAACTCACCCTGTTGCTGTCCAGATCCACTAGCCACACATCATCAGGCATTTTGAAGTCCAGTTTGTAGAGGAAGAAGCTGGCAGGGACCCCGATGATATATGGGGTTGGAGCCAACAGCAGCTGAGGAAGAGATAAAGAGGTTAAGACCAAAACAAAACCTATTGGGATCACCTACTGAGTCAGGCTTTTTTGAGATAGGAGTCAGTTCCACAATCCCTTTCCAAAACTCTCGAGGGTGGGTGTGTTTCAAAATTCAGAATTTTTCAGATTTTACAAAGGTAACCGTACATTTTCTGTATATTATGTATCACCTGTAATGGAGTAGTCAGTAGACTATAATCATTAATATTAACTGTGATAAATAAAGACCATAAACAGCAAAGGTATTGCCACCAGATCAGTTCATATGAGGTCTTATTTTTCAGACAAATAAGTTATGATAAGGGATGCAGGGTCATTCACATGATTTGCAACTCTGTGGGCAATGAGTCTTCTCCCTCAGAGCTGGACAGACTTGGGAGACAGCTGTGACAAAGCCAGAAGGCACCATGAGACTCACCTGTTCTGCTGATGCCATGCAGGTGGGCAGCAGTGGGATAACAGGAAACATGTACTCCAGGGGGTAGATCATGGCCACAAAGGCCATCACAGACATGGAGAGTGCGTTGTAGTCTCGGGACTGCAGCACCACCTGCCACGAGTCACCCCCAAGGACCATTCAATAAGGGTAGTTCATGAGAAAACACCTTCCAAAACAACAATCTCATTTCTTTCACCACACCAAGGACTCCAGGAGCTCAGTTTCCACAATTATCAATGCCCCATGCCTCACCCTGCCTGCCACATCCCTAGCCAAGCACTGTAGTAATGCTCCCTGGAGCCACTCCCTTACCATCCTAGATCTTGTGCCCTCAATCCCAGGACCAACCACTCACTGGACAAGAACTGCTGATATTTCCAGAAAATAAGACCAGCCAAGTTCAGGAAAATCAACGAAGTGGTCAGTCCTCTGAACGCATCCCACACGAGACTAGTACCTTGATTCAAACCACACCGACCGAGCAGCTGCCGTATGCCTGGCATTGTGTTACTTTCCGGAGATAAAAACAGATGAGAAAGACACAGTGCCTGTCCTCGAAGGACTCCTGGTCTAGCCTCTGCCGTGTAAGGACTGGGAAACTGGCCCTCTCACCTTGTGCTCTAGCAGGATGCAGGTGAGCACCTGAAGGCAGGCATCCACACCCAGAAGTTCCAAGGGAAGGTGCAGGGGGAAGTCCACTAGGGTGAATCGAGAGGGGTCTGGAAGAGCAAAGGTCAGCGCTTGCTGGAGTTCCTGGGGGAGGACCTCAATGTCTACTCGCTTCTGCCCAGAGACGGGCACCGGGGAGCGCAGCAGCCGGTAGATCCAGGCCTCGATCTCGCGAAGGTCATGCAGGAGGGCGCTGGACTTCTCCTCCACCAGCAACGACCCGGTAAAGATGCGCCACATGGTGTCCCTGAAGAACAGACAGCAGAGAACAGACGTGTGAGGAGCAGGAGCTGGTCTCCCACTGTACCCTGATGTCACGGCAGAGGGCGCGGCGAGGCCAGCTGGAAACACTCCCCCTCTCAGCTCAGCAAGGACCAGAGGGTACGCACAGGGTGGGAACACGCATAAAAATGTACAGACGGGAGGACTGAGCGTCCTGCCCACCGTGAAACATCAAATTCCTCAGCATTCCTCGCAGTACGGCGACGGCAGGGGCCCAGCCCTGAAGCAGTCTTCTGCTTCGTAAGGATGGGCACGTTTCAGGAGGCCTGAAGGACCTCAGGCTTTAGGGGGCCCTTCCTCTGTCGCAGCCCCGCTGCACCTACCCGCTCAATGCCTCCCCCGCCGTCTGAGTATCAGCCATACCTCTGAATGCCTCGAGGGATGCTCAGCTTCTTGCCCAGGAGTCGCTCGCTACAGCAGTCCACCAGGCGTTTGAGGGTGTACAGACACTCTCGGAAGGTGGAGAAGAAGGGGTAGTGGCTGAGCACGCACAGGGATGTCAGCGTACTGTTGCGGGAACGGCTCCCCACCTTGGCCCGGCGCTTGCCCCGAGGAGACTGGCTCACGTCAGGGGTGGAATCGGTACTGGGAGGCTGCAGGGATGAGCCGCTCTCCGAGCTCTCTTCGGAGGCACAGGTGGTGGCACGTGGTGCTTCCTTCCCCCGAGACCCGGCCCCCCCCTCCCCTTTCTCCTTCGGCATTCGTTTCTGGAAGGAGCGGTAGAAGTTAACACAGATGCCATAACGCGTGACTCCGGTGTCCTTGTCAGTGAGGGTGAAGACGAAAGAGGTGTCGTCCCGCAGGGTCGTGCGCCGCTGCCGCACGCTCAGGCAGCCCTCAGGCTGGCAGAAGAACACTACGTCGGGGGGCAGCGGAAACTCAGCGTGATCCTCCAGGGGGTACCGCCGCAGGAGCTCGGGAGTCTGGGCCACACTATCACTGCTTGGGTGTCTGAAGAACACAAAGACAAATTCAGCGGCCTGAAGGGGTGGGATGCTCTCACATGTCAACCTTCGAATAAGGCTCAAAATGCTATTGTGGATAAAGCAACCTAACGGCAGGGCTTTAAAAAACATGGGCGCCGCTCCCCACGTTCAGCTGGGAGGCTAAGTGAGGTCTGCACTGTCATGAAGACAGACGCCTGGCCTGAAATTCGAGAACTGTGACAATAAAATCATCTCCAGCGCCTTCAGATAATTAGCAGCTTTCAAGGTGTATTAGCCAAGGATTACCAAAACAGCACGTGGAGGTAGAGAAGTTGCAGCGTGCTTTTCCACTTTTACAGAATAAGGAAACTGAGGCACACAGCACGTATTTGCCCAAGATCACAGAGATGCTCCGGCTCTTTCCCTCCAGGCCAATACCCTCCGCCCACCTGATTGTGTTAGTTTCACTACGGGCACCAATGTTCCCATCAGGGTAAGATAATAGGGAAAGCACGAGCTATTTAAAGCAACATGGAAATGGGACAAGGTTGGATTCTGTGATTATCCCACATGACAAGACAGAAGCCAGTCTCCTCTGGGTTACCTGGCCCCTACGATCACTAGATAGTCAAGTAACCGAGGACAGAACTTCTTCTTCTGCACCATGATTCCAATTCATCAGTTCATCTCAGAGAAACTTCAAGACCCCCAGCAAGGTGTCAGTGTTCCCAGGAGGAATCCTGATATCTGAAAATGCAAGTTTAAAAGGGAAAAAGTACTGATAAGATCCATTGCTGTGCCCCAAGAGACTCTTCTCAGCTTCATCCCAGCCGAGGGCATAGGTCAGAAGGCCTTCCATTTAGAACTAAAGATAGGAGCACCTGACACTTTTCTTAGCCCAGAGTTCAGACTATGTTTATGAGTTCACAGAGTCAAATGTCACAAAATAAGATAAATAATGGCTCACCTCCCCTTCCCCACAGACCAGCTCATTTCCAGTCTTGCCCCTGAGGCTCTGTTTCTGAAAAATAGATTCAGCTAGTCTAATCTGGAGTCAGTCATTATGATAACAAAAATTAAGTCACTTTCAGGACTGCTCCAGGGTGGATCAGGATCAAACCAGGCTCTCTAATCAGCACTAATCTGCACTCCTAGCTCTAGATGGAAACCTAATTACTCTCTGTTCCAACATTCTGCATTCAGCTGGATGGGAAGCTACAGTATAGACGGTATAGCTAATTGCACTCAGACAATAACAACAGCTGGCTACTCTACCTCATGTGATCTCAAATGAAGAATATCTATGTCCCAGTTGCTCCTTCTAAACTATTTTTCTCCCCTCTTCAAACAAGAAAAGGGCCTGGTGGCTACTGCTATGAGCTCTGCCCTTGGTGCTGAATCATAGTTGTTCTTTATTCTGGTCCCAGGATTGGAACTGTTACTACAATACATACAAATGAGACCTAGTCCTTCTATAGCTTACAAAGATTAAAAATTAGATGCAGAAATACCAGATTTCTGGAAGGACAGGAAGAGGTGCTCAGAGGAATTTCTAAACCATAGTCCAAAAACTAGGAAAAACTTACATGGTCTCAATTATAACTTATTTCCTAAGCATTTCCTCAGGCTTTTCTGAACAAAATGTTTCACTCCACCACAAGACTATTCTTAGTGCTTCCAGGATTCCATCTCTGTGCTCCTGACAAGGCCACATTAAGACCTGATTCACTGTACACACAGAGAGAACTCCATGACACTACACATGCACTCACACGCCACTCCCTTCTTTGCTGTGTGCACTCCCATACATACATACTCCCTGTATGCGTAAGGCCCTATTTGATTTAGATAATGAATAGAAGTTCTATCTTTTTTTCTCCCCTACTTAGTAATAAATAAAGATCTATTTGCAACACTGCTCATAGCCTCAAAATATTGTTCCCTCCTTTCTCTTGCTCCCAATAGAGGACCTGCAGGTAATAGGATTCAATTTTGTCTCCATAGCGACTCTGGCTCCCAGCACTATTTATAGCAGAGCCACAGCCCCTCCCCTGCTTGGTGACCGCACAGTGCTAGCAGCTGCTACTCCAGAGTCGGCCAGAGCCCCTAAACATTTCACTCTCCTTGAGTCCTCCACTCCGGCACCTGCTGGTTACTAGGTTATCTTCCCTCACATCTGTCTTTAGTTTGCACTAAAATTGGATGAGGACAAAACCAAGTTTGTAGGCATGCCAAGCACGTGATGTAGACATCACAACCATCCAAAAAGCCCTTCGGTTCTCTTCACTGCTACGGAGTCCCAGGCATAATGCAGAAGGTGGGGCACCGTTACAGAGCTGAGCTCAGCTCCTCCCAAGCAGAATGAGAAGGAAAATAGAGAAAAGCAACGGGAGATGGATAAAAGTATAATTGATTCTCTAAAAGAATTATGTAGAAAATGCCTAGGGCCGAGAGCCAAGTATCTTACAGAGCACAGTGTTTACAGAGTGGCGCTCAAGGCGAAACCTTGAGATATGTGTTTACGTTGAAAACCAGGAGCTCCTTTCTGCCAAAATCTCAAAGTTCACACCTGAAGCATCTCCTACCAATATAGTAGGCATCAGACTTTTAGTCTTGATGGGATCCCAGCCCCTCTCTGCTGAGAATCATTTGCTCATACTCAACATTATCAGGTTCCACAGCACCCAGAGCCATAAGTACTCTAAGATCTAGTGACTAGTCTACCTTTCAGTGATAGATTTTTAGCCACTATTCATTTCTTCTTCACGGCCACTGTTCAGTTATTTCAAACTGCAAAGATAAACAAAGTCTTACTTCCCATCTCTCCCCACACCCCTCTCTACAAAGACTCTAAGTCCTCTAACAACACCTATAGCACACTCTGTCTTCATACCCACACAGCCTCTTGCCTCAAGCATATTGACTAACTCAGAGTTCCCAGTTCCGAGCTCCATCTATTCCAAAAGCATTTAGCTCAAAATGCATACCTATGGCTGAAGTCCTACCTCACCATCCACTCCATTAGATGCACATTTAGAATTCACAGATCTCTCATCTATGTATTTGCAGCCTGCAATGACCACACCAAATAACCCTTGGGATTCATCCATAGTTTGGGGCAGGATGTCAGTAAAACCACAGGAACCAGCGAGCGATATGGCATCTTTGCTGACGTGAGCACAACAGGAGGCTCTCCTGCCTTCCTCCCTCTCCCCAGGCAGTGACCTTGCAAGTGCCTCAGCACAGACAGGTCCAGCATGGGGGAGAATGCGAGCAAAGAGGCAGGCAGGAGGCAGGCAGGAGGCAGGCTTAGGGAGGAGGGGAGGGCAGGAAGAGGAGGAAGACTTGGGAGATGCACGACGCTGGACAGGGAAGCAGTTGCAGGAAAGATGAAACGGTGCCCCCGCGCTCCAGCAAGCCAATTTTGAAACACCCCAATTTAAAAACAAACCAAAATTTTCTCTTAAAAACCCAAACGTGGTTCTCCAAAGCCTAGCCAAAAAAAAGGGCAGCGCGCGCGCGCGCCAGGTGCGGATCCTGGCTCGGGCCCCGGGGCTGGACAGCTCTGCCCGCCCCCTCACCTGCCGGACAGTGCGCCCCGGTCCCGGAACCCGCGGCGATCGGGGCCTGCAGCCCGCGCCCCTCGACGCCCCGGCGCGACCCCACTTACAGCCTCGCCCCTTCCCTCCGGACCCCTCCCTGGGGACCCCGCGCCCCGGAGACCCCTTCAGGGCCGCCTTCCTCCCAAGGGCGCCTGTTCGCGCCGAGAACCGCGGGGTCCCCGCGGGATCTCCATCCCACACGCCCTTCCAGGGCGCCCGGAGCCCCGGGCCGACCTACCTCCGCGCCTCGGGGGCCCCGCCAGGCCCGGCCGGGCGTCCCGCGCAGCCGCTGCGGCAGCGGAGCGTCAGGGCTCGCGGCGCGGCCGCCGCTCGGGCGCGCGCAGTTCCGCGTCCCCCGGGGGGCGCGCGCCGCTCGGGCCGGCGAGGGGGGGCGCTGGGGCGCCGGGGGGCCGTACCATTCACCCCTGGGGGGACGGGCCCTCCGCGCCGGGCGGAGGTGGCGGCGGCTCGGGAGCGCGGCGGCTGCGCGCGGCGCGGCGTGTGGGCGCGGGGACGCGGGCGCGCCGGGCCGGCCCAGCGCCTCCGCTCGCCGGGGGGGGGGGGACCCCGAGGAACGCCTCCTGTTTAGCTGCGCCGCCAGGTTTTAACCCCGCACGGCAGTGCGGCCCGTTTCGCCGAAAGGCGGATTCACCTGGAAGCGACGTCTCCAGAGAAGGCGCCCCGGACCCTCCCCGGCCGGCCCCCGGCACCTGCCTCCCCCCCCCGCCCCCGCGCGGCTTGGAAGGGCCCGGCCGCCCGGGCGGGGCGCGGGGCGCGGGCGGCGGAGCCTACCACTGCCGGGCGGGGGGGCGCCGCGGCCGCAGCTCCCCGGGGCGCGGGCCCCCAGAAGGGGCGGGAGCCCGCCGCGGGGCCCCCTGGGGGGTGGGGTCCTCCTCAGGCCGGGCGTGCGCTGGGCCGCCGACCCCGGCGCTCGGGAGACTGTTCCTCCTGCCCCTCGGGATCGGGGGCCGGGAGGAGGGAGGGTTGTCCCCTCTCCTTCGGGTGCCACCGGGAAGCGAAGGCGCGCGCGCCCGAGCACAGGTGCCCGGCTGGGCCCTCGGAAACGCCCTCCCACCCCCACGCCGGGCCCTCCAGGCCACCCGGGGGAGAAGGGGGCGTCCGAGCCTCGCGTTGCGGCGACCCTCCTGGCGCAGCGAGGCGAGGGAAAGGGGACCCCTCCCCACAAACGCCAAAGCTGTCACTGGTGACCTGTCCCTCCCCCGGGGCTGGAGGCGGATCCCCAAGGAAGCCGGCTGGCCGCCTCCGGGGCCCGGCCCCCGCCCCGACCCAGAAGTTGGTTTCTCTCGTTCTGTACAGGGCAGTGCCAGCCCTGTCAGCGGGGCAGCCCGAGACACTGAGGGCCGAGCCACAAAGTGACAGTGGAGAATTTCTCTCGGGGGCCCTGCGGGGAAAACAGGAAGTGGTGAGGCAGGATGGGCAGGGCCCTGGAGAACCTTGTGCAAAGTGGCCCCTAGGTTTGTCCTTTGGGTTGGGCCAGTCCAGGCTCCAAACGCAGCAACGCTTTATTAGGACCCTTCCTGCCCAGCAGCCACAAAACTCCCAACTCTCTGACTCTTTAATGCCGCTTTGCCCAGCTCCCAGGAACGTTTGCCCTTCTCAGCCTGCTCCACCTCTAGGAGGCGGCCACCAGGCCTCACCCTCCAGCCCGGAAAACAACTGAGAGTGGGTTAAGAACAGTCACTCGTGCACATCCCAGATCTCAGAGAGCAGCGGGGGAAGCTTTTTGTCCTGCAGGCGCAGCGCGAACACTTGCTCCGAGTGGACGCTGCTCAGTGTCCGGAGGCTCACCAGTTTCATCAGCATCCGTGGGAACATCAGTCGGTCCTGGGGGAAGGAGAGAGACAAGCACAGCCTTTGTCTCTCCTCAGGGAAAGGGGGTGGTGGTGGTAGGAATGAGCTGTGAAGAGGCAGGGAGGGGGCACCATGGGGAAACTCACATGGGGGTGGTGGATGGAGACGTAGGCATGCAGGGCCTCCACATATGTGTGTTGCAGCCTCTCTACCTGGAGCTGGTCCTGCACGTTGGGCCGGTCTATAGGTCACCAACAGAGTTGAGGAGCAGGTCTGGCCAGGGTCTTACTTCCATACCCCAAATCACAACCAAAAGAGGGACATGCCTCACCCAGCCGCTCCCGTCCCCAAATAACACAGCAAGGACCTCCACCCCTGCAATGCCTGCCCTTTGGGGCCTCCTCAGGGCAGCTAGATCCCTTGCTCATGTTCCTGTTGCCCGTCCTCCGCACCTGCAGAGAAGATGCTGATGGCAATGAGCAAAGCGAACTCGGCATCATTGAGCTGCAGCTCATTCATGGCTCTGGAGAACTCGAAGATGGGGTTGATGAACTCCACCTGCAGCCCTGGGCAGAAGACAGGAGGCTGGGGCTTGGGGCGCAAGCAGAGAACTTTCTTTTCTAACTCTTCGATTTAGGCTACTAGGAACTCCACAAGAGTCTCCAGGGCTCTGCTATGAGTTTGGGCGAATCCCTTACCCTAATTCTTAGTGATTAGGTGGACTCATATCTGAACTTGCAAGACCGCTGTGATGGTTATAGGATGAAGCATGCAGAGCACTTAGTGTTGTGTCCGGTACTTAGTAGATGCTGAATCAACGGATCTAGTAATTCTGTTATTCTTACTAGAATTCTTTTTTTTTTAAGATTTTTTATTATTTATTTATACAAGCACTGGGGTCCAGGCCAGAGGTGCAGGAGGGTGAAAGAATTCACCAGAGACAGAGCAGGGAGCAGAACAGGCAGAAGGATGGATGTACACTGCTGAGGGAAGCAGCAGGCGAGACAGGAGAGGTCTGTTTCACCATGTGGGTTGCTCCCTGGCTGGCTGGAAATCGAACCAGAGCTGCAGAGGCTGCACACAAGTTCCCAGCACTGTGCTCAACTCGCTGCACCACCAGGGAGGCCCTCTTACTAGAATTCTTGAGAGCCCAGCTTACTAGAAATAGAAGCCACTCATTACTGTTTATAAGAAGCCTTTTCACTAGCAACAGGCCTTACTGGGATACTAGATATCCATTTCAAGTTTCACATCCCAGTGGGGACATAGCAAGGTGCTAAATATTTGAATTTTGCTTTTGAATCTTGGCCTCCCCATTTTATAGTCTGGGTGACTTTGGATAGGTAACTTAAGCTCTCTGGGCCCTGGTTTTCCTATCTGTAAAGTGGAGATAATAATAGTATCTACTTCACAAAGGAGTCGTCTTAGAATAATGTATTACACATGTGATAACTACTATGTGTTTGTTAAATAAATAAATTTAAAAAAAATAAAATCAGTCTTCTTGCTGAAGAGACTAATGTTCCAGAAACATCGACTTAAAGGCATGACATGTAAGGAACACTTCTTCCATTTACTGTCATGGCCTCCCCCACCCCCAGCGTCCTCTAGGCTTTCTCAGATTTCTTTTAGCAACCATCTGCTAACTTTCCATTCAGCCCTTCTTGATTAGCCATTTCCTGTACTTTCACCCTGTTCATCAAGCATGTCTTAATCCATTTAATGGACAAGCCTCATCTTATCAGGCATTTCTTGGTGAGGTTTTGGGCCTTGAATTCTGCCCAACAGCCCCTGCTGTAGAGAGGCCAGGAGCTTCTAAAGTCAGGATGTGCAGCCTGCCCTCTAGGGGCAGTCCTCTGTGCCATCAATCCTCATAAGTCACCGCCCAGGGCAGCATGTGGCGGTGGACAGAGAGAATGATAGAGACCTGACTAAAGCAAGCCCTGATCCCTCACCCCAAAACCCTAGTGATGAAATGGAAAATGAAAGGCGAGTATGATAACAAAACTGCTTATATAAATGTATCTATAAATAGGTGCCAATTTGGAAAGCAGGAGTCTGTAAGTGCTGAAGGAACACAGACGTGAGAACTGGGGAGGCTTCAGAACGGAAGCCCATGTTAGGAAGGCCATAGTTAAGGACTGGGATAATGCCCATTTGGGGGAAAGGTATTATGGTGGAGAAAGGGCTCAGGGGTGGCCTTTAAGACTGGAGAAAGTCACCCAGTCACCCCCAGTAGGTGCCCATGCATCCCCGCACATTCCTGGCATGGCAAGAGGCAACCTGGCATGTTCAGTAGTCTGAAAAAACAAAAAGCTTTTGAGAGCCTCCGTAGAAAGCTCACTGAGGGCCTGTGTTGGGCCACCAAGAAGCTCATGAGGTGTCCTGAGTCACCACAAACCAGAGAGGCTTTGATGAACTCTGACCTGGAAACCAGGACCCTGAGAATAGAGTCACGGCAACAGCATTTTACAGACTCTACTCACTCGGGTGCCAGGCTGCTCACTCTCCTGTCAAGCCTCAGTTCCAGGGGCCCCAAGGCTCCTTCCGTCTGACACCCTCCCCAACCCCACTTCCAAAACACAAACAGTGGGCCTCCCCGGTGGCGCAGCGGTTGAGCGCTGGGTTGCGAAGCTGCCCGCAGCCTCTGCAGCGCCGGTTCGATCCCCGGCTGCTCCCCGGCCACCGGAGGAGGGTCCCACATGGCGCGCAGACCTCTCCTGCCGCCCGCTGCTCCCCTCAGCAGTGTACTTCCGTCCTTCTGCCTGCTCTGCTCCCCGCTCTGGCTCTGGTGAATTCTCTCACCCTCCCGCGCTTCTGACTGTACCCAGTGCTTGTATAAATAAATAAATAAATATTTTTTAAAAATAAATAAATAAATAAATAAATAAATAAATAAATAAATAAAACACAAACAGTACCAGCAACCAGATATAAGCAAACCACCGCTGCTCAGCCCACAAGCATCCGAGGACAGCACTGCGCAATAATTCTTGGAGAAAACACTCCAGCTACAGGAATGGGATGGAAATCTTGACTCCCATCCAAAAACTGCCCATCTGGGTGGGCATGGTTGCCATGCTTCATCTCTGATGCCCTGGCTCATCAGGCAGAGAGGAGGAGAAATTGGTCCTGTGACCTTAAAGAATGCACCTGAGGAAGAGCTGTATATTATTGACAACCAAAAGGCTTGATGTGGTGGCTTTCAAACTTTTTTCCCAGCTATAAAATATTTCCTTCAATGAAAACATCTAAATGTAGCTTCTGGTGTGGCTAAAGTAAGGACATTTCTGGGCCTCCCTGTTTCTACGCCACAGTGACGATGAAACCCCCTTCCTTGGAACACAGTTTGAAAACTTGGGGCTAATGCAACAGAGAACTGGGGTATTTCGGGGGGCAGTTGAGAGAGAACCATCAGCAGTTCAACTTTTTGTCTTAGAAAAGTAAGTGGCATCTTCCCTTGACAGACACTCAAACCCGGGGGCCTGTGGTTCTGTGCTCGTGGAGGGTCCTGTGACAGGACGGTCCAGCCAACTGATCCCTTAGTGATTTCATTCTCACCTGCTTTGGCAAAGTCTTCCCGGTTATAACTGAAGTCCTTGAGGAAGGTGATACTCTCACTCCCAGGGTTGTACCGCCGAGATGTTTCCAGAAGCATCACCTGCACACAAGTAGCAGACCTCAACCAGGGAGTGGTCCTCACATGGGCACCTCAGAGGAAAGGTTGAGGTCCTCATCCCTACTTCTTGGTGGACTTGTCTCCCTCTCCCTGGCTGGCTGGATCGGGAGCTATCTCCCAGACCACCCTGCCCTGGCTCTCCCTTCACTGCTCCTCCCTGGCCAGCCACCTCAATCGCAGAGGTCTTCAGCAAGGCGATCTGGTCCTCCCGGCTGAGCTGCAGGAAGCCCGGAAGCTGTTTGGCAAAATCAACAATCTCCTGCACAGAGACGATGGCCAGCTCGGTGAAGTGGGCAAAACGCTGCTGCCGGGCCTCCCGACTCTGGGGATCCGGTGCCATGGGCCAAGGCTACCCAGAAGGGACGGGAGGGAAAAAAACAAATGGTTCTGAGTAAGCTGCCAAGAGGCCGCCCAGTGCTCTGGGCACAGCCCCGGCCCCACTGTCCCCCTGTCCCTCGGTACCGTGACTCGAAGCCGGTCCGAGAAGGAACGTCTGTTACACTGTTGCTGGGCAGCCACCAGCTTCTCAATCATGCCCAGCTGCTCCTGGCTGAGCTGGGGCAGGACTTGGGGGGGTGAGGAGGCCCCCGAGGGCATGGATGTGGTCTGAGCCTGCTCCTCCTCTTGCCGTTTCAGTTTCTTCAGGCGGATCTGTTCTTCTGACAGGACACCTGAGGACAGGGCCACACGTGAGGAGGGGAGAGGAGGGGGCACGGGAAGCAAGGGGCCTGGACCTGGGATTGGGGCGGGAGGTCTGCAGGCAGGCTTGCTGGCTACCCGCCCCCCTGTGCACCCACAGGTCCACCCCGACTCCCACCCGGGCCACTCACATTCCTCCCTCATGCCAGCCTGGCGGCACTTGCGAAGGCGACACTCCTGGCACTTGCGGCGCATGTAGGTGTCCATGGGGCAGCGGCCCCCACTGTGGCAGGCATAGCGCGCCCCCTTGATGACGCTGCGGCGGAAGAAGCCCTTGCAGCCCTCGCAGCTCAGCACGTTGTAGTGGAAGCCAGAGGCCTTGTCCCCACACACACTGCACAGCTCGTTGCCCAGCATTTTAGGGGCTGGCCCCTTTTTCCGCTTTTGTGGACGGATCTCTGGAGACAGGGAAGAACCTGGATGTTCCTCTCCAAGGAAAAAACTTGGTCTTGAGTCAGTCACTGCCCTGGGCGCTCAGTGACTTCACCCCTCATCCCCTTCATCACATGCAGCCATAGCCAGGAAGTCGCTCTCACTGGCCGAGAGCCCTTGGGTCCTAGGTGCTGTCTGAGCCCTTATAGTCGTTGATCCTCACAACCACCGTGAGAGATGGAGACACTCTTATTCCCCCTCTATAAGGAAACTGAAGCTCAGAGGGTCTAAGGTAGAAACAAAATCCATACTCTGATGGCTCAGGACTCACTGGCATCAAAGCCCATGGACTTATAAAGTGGTCGTATAGGGCCTCCCTGGTGGCGCAAGGGGTTAAACACAGCACTATGAAGCAATCCGCAGCCTCTGCAGCACGAGTTCCATCCCCGGCTGGCCAGGGAGCTACCCACATGGCGCAGCAGACCTCTCTTGTCTCGCCTGCTGCTCCCCTCAGCAGTGTATTTCAGTAGATCTGCCTGTTCTGCTCCCCACTCTGTCTCTGAGGAATCCTCTCACCAGCCCCCACATACCTCTGGCCTATACCCCAGCTCTTGTATGCATAAATAATTCTTTTTTAAAAAAACAAATAAGGTGGCCTTATAGAGTGCCCCAAGGTATCCAGTTCAGATCCAGGAGCCCCAATATGTTCCAAATCCAGAAGCTCCTTACCTGTGGACTCTGGAGGGGCCTCTGCTCCTGGGAGCAGGGCTGTGGGCTCTGATGCCTCCAGACCGAGCCCCAAAGTGGCCCCGGCCGACTGGGGCGCGCTGGCCTCCTCTGTGAGGATGCAGGGTCTGCCTCCCAGGCCCTGGTGGCTTGCATCTTGCACACCTGGCTCCCACAGCTCCAGTGCAGAGTCTGAGTCCCGAAAGAGAGGCACAAACAAGGAGGTCTCAGGTAGAGTCCACTTGCCGGCAGTCTTGCTGGGAAATGGCCAGTTTATCTCCACCCATAGAGGGCAGCAACACCCAGCTCCAGCTCAGGGACCCTGCAGTTTTGTGTGGGCTCTAGGGCTAATTGCTCGTGGTCCCTAGCACCTGAACACCTTAAATGAGAATGTGAACCTTTGTCCCCTTGGGGGGCTGCTGTGTATCCATTTCAGAGATCAAACAGAACTCTCCAAAATCAGAGTAAGCTCTGGACATGCCAATTCTCCAGGAGCAAGCCCAGGCTGGGAAGGAATGGACGGGTGCCCGTAATGATCAGGCCTGAGAACCAGGCAGGGGTGGTCCAGGCAAAAAGGGGCAAGACTGCTCTCCAGGGAAGGGCAGAGGCAGCTCGTGAAGGAGGGTGAGTCCTGAGGAAGGAGCTGCCAGGCTGGGGGGGAGTTCTGGGGGGAAGCACTTACCAGGAGAAACACCAGTCACCGGGGCCTCCAGCCACAGGGACATGTCTTCCTGGAGCCTTGGACATTACCAAGAGACTGTCCTGCAGGAACAGCCCCGGTCACACTCTTCCAGAAATGGACTCCTCTCTGGCCTCTGCTCCATTTTCCCGACCTGCCTTATCAGCACTAACATTGACCTGCCATATAAGAGCCTGAGCTACGGCCTCACGTGCCTGCCTCACTACATGTCTGTGAGGGCAGGTTCCCTCAACCCCCTAAAATGAAGAGACGTGATTAAGGAAATTGCCTGTGGCCAGTTAGGGAGGGCTACGGCCAGGACTCCAATTGGGGTCTCTATTTGGCTCCCAAAGTCTGAGCTCTTGGCTATCATGCCTCCTTTCCTTCCCAGGGTCCCCCCTTCAGGCCCTCTGAGGGGGGAGATGTGAGTACACTGGCCCCTCCCCCTCACTCCAGCTGTGGAGTAAGCCAGAATTGGGCAGGACCAGGACATGGGACTCACTCCACGCTGCTTGTTAGCCAGCCTCACTCCTGCCACTTTCCAGGGTCTCAGCACAAACCTCTTACCTCCAAGACTCACCCCAATTCACACACAGGACCTCTTCCCCCAGGCCCACTGGGACTGGGACTTAAATAGAATCCTATGCCTGCTGGAGCTTCCATCATCCTCATCCTTCACTCCTCCCCAGAGACCCTTTGCTAAGATCCACAGGAAACCCCACCCCGCCCCCAGACACACACACACACACACACACACACACACACACACACACACACACACACACACACACACACACACACACACACACACACACACACACACACACACACACACACACACACACGGTCCCAGGCCAGTGCTGGGACCAGACCCACCGAATGCCCAAGGCAGCCAGACTTCCTGGCTGGGGCAGTCTCTGGAGCCCCCTTGCTGGGAGAAGAGGATGGTGCAGCTCCTTGTCCAGGGGCCTCCGGGACCAGCGCCAGCCCAGTGAGGAGCCAAGCGAGCAAAAGAGGGGCCCTGGGGAAGTAATGTGGGGAAAGGCTGGGGGGAGGGGCTGCCAAGGGGTCGGGCTATCTTCTTCCTGCCAGGAGGGCTGGAGACTGACAGGAGCCCTGGCCTCCTGACTCCAGCCACCGCCCCCACCCGCCACGGGCAGCTTCCCCACCATGCTGACTCCTCCCAGATGGCCACCCCCTCTACCAACGCCACCCCTGCCCCCCTGCCCCCTACCCCCAACCATGACAGTTGCATTTCCCTGCAGACCGGCCCAGTTCCATGTCTTTCCCCTTTCTCTCCTCACCCCCGCGGCTCTTAGCTGCTCTTACACAAGGACGGCCTCCTAGGCACCCCCACCCCAATCCCGGCAGCCTCCAGAGTCAGCGGTCCCTCCCCTCCATAGACACCTCGCAGAGCAAAGGTCCCAGCACGGCCGGAATTGCGACACTGAGCCTCAGCCTGCTTTCCCAGCCTCCCTCCTCCTCCCGGCCTCTGGGAAGGGGCCAAGAAACTCTCCCCACTAGCCGCAGGCCTCAGCCAAGCTGGTAGAACTCAAGGGGCGGGGAGGCAGGTGCCAGGCCTTCCAGGGAATCTCTTATGGTGAATGCCCCACACAGGGGCCACTCTGAGGGGAGGAGGCCAGGAGAGAGAGGCGCAAGGACAGGCCTGGGATGGGAGTGGGGTGGAGACAGCAGAGAAGCCAGGCCCAGCCCAGCATAGACCTGGGAGGTAGGCAGGTTCCCTTATCTGGGGAAAGGCTCCGTCTGGAGCGACGGCAAGGCTCTGCCCAGCACCTGTGAGCCTGCCTGAGCCCAAGCCTTCCTGGCCTGCGACCTGGAATGTCAGCTCCATCCCTGAAGGTAGACACCTTGTTTTACTGATTTTACTTTCCCGTTAGTCCCTGGCACAAGGTCTGGCATAGAGTGGGCAAGAGCAGGTACTGTGTTCCTGTTGAAAGAATAAGTAAACAAAAATAATACCGTTCTCTTCTATACTTGTTCGCTCGGTTTCAGCTCCACGTGTTGATTTAGCATTCGGGCTCTAGGCTCACATTTTTGGCTCAAATCCTGGCCTTGCCTCTGCCTCTTATTAGCTGTGTGATCTGGATTAAGCCTCTGAACCTCTGCTTCCCTATTTTTAAGATAAGGATAACAGTTGTTGCCACTTAAGGTTGTCCCGAAAACTAAGCATCATAACACAACGTGTGGCATGTGGCGAGCACTCAGGAAATGGGATCCTTTCAGTGCCGAGCCCCCTACCACCTCCAATCTACAGTGAACTCTCTGTGTGCAAATCCTCACTATCGGCCCATAAAAGCAGCCTCAGGAGAGAGGGGAGGTAAAAAAAACACCAGCTCATTTTACAGAGAATACTGAGCTCGCGGCAGACCCTCGTCCAGGACCACACACAGTTTCTGGCCAAGCTGGGGTCTGAATCCAGATGTCCTTCTTTGTCCTGTGGCAGCGTCTACAACACCCTTGTCGCGTTGCCTCTCGGATCCAATGGCCTCTGGAAGTGCTGAGGTGGAAGACAAGGTGCTGGTGGGATAGCCGGAGAGGCCTGGGGATGTTGCAGTCCAGATGTGGGAGGCGAGGAGCTGAGGTTACTGCTGGTTGTTCACCCCCTGCCCCACTCACTCCCACTTCCTGCTCGCAGGCTCTTCCTGTTTTGCTATGAACTCCGGTTCCCATGGGTCCCACATGAAAGCACAGAAGGACAGGGGGCCAGGGAAGGCAGCCAGAGGGACTGAACAGAGCTGAACAGGGCACCAGGGAAGAGGAGAGGAGAGAGAACAGGATGGGAGGGCAGGGAAAGCAGAAATAGAAAAAGAGCTTGGTGAAAGACGGGAGGAAGCAGAGGGTGGGGCAGGGGGAACAGACGGGGGTAGGAGGCAGACCTTGAGAAGACAGCAGGCTGGGTGGTGTTGCACAATCTGCCCATGTATTCATTTTCACATTTCAGAAAAGCCCCTCTGACTCCCCACCACACCCCATCTCAAAGTTCTGCCTCCAGCGTTTTTGCTCTTGTTCCCTCTCATCATCAGGTCATCTGCTCACAATGGCCCCATCCTGGACACCCCGGAGTCATGAGCACAAGGCTCTCCAGTCCTCGAGCACGGGTGCCTCCCCCAGTTTTCACCAGGCCCCAGATGTCCTGGGAAAGTTGAAACCCAGGATTCCAGCCCCTGGGGAAATGGAACGATTCTGTCCCAGCACCCACGTCATCCATCGAGCTCCTTCCTCTGCCTGTCCCCATCCCCAGAAGCAGCAGAGAAGTCAGAGAAACACCAGCTTACAAGGAACTCTGGCTATAACACTGGTCTGGAGCATGGGGAATAGCCCCTCTCCCACTCGCCTGATTCTCGTCTCCCCACAGGGGTCTTCTCATGGCCCAGTGTCACACACAGACCCCTTCTGCAGCCTCTGACCCAAGCTAGAGCCAACTGCTAAATAAGCAAGTCAGGGCACCATCTCTCCGCAAGGCAGGAGTCAGCCTCAGTCTGGTCTCAAGTAGAGGAGGAAGTATTATCAGTGCTTTATTGTCAGAGCTACCCATTCAGGTTAGAGGGGTACAGGATTCCCCCACACCCCCAAAGAATGAGGAGTAGGAAGAGGAAAATGGGGGAAGATCAGAACCTGTTGCAATATCAACAGTTTCCAGACACCAACCACTGGGACTTCCCCAAGCCAGAGCAAGTAGTCAGGTGATCAGCAGCTGGAATCACATGACCCGCTTTGCCAGCTCCACCTCCAGGCAGTTCCACAGCACGCAGCAGGTGTTGATAGGTGCCAAGAGTCCCAGCCCCAAGGGGCCTTCCCAAGGTTTCCTTGACTCCCGAAAGAGGCCCCATACCTGGGGACCCGCTGGGGACCTTCCAAGACACATTTCTGATTCCCAGGACTTCCAGAGGCTTCTCACTACAACAAGAGGAATCTTCAAGCAAAAATAATAGCATTTACCATCCTATGGCCATATGCACTGCTGGATTATTCTCCAGAAGGCACTCAAATTCCCATGCAGCAGGCTATGACGTGTGTTTTGCAGGGATGAAATGAGCAACTGCTTCTTGCTCCTTCCTTCACCATTTTGGAAAGGTGCAAAATGTGGAGGTCATCTTGCAGGCCACTCAAATAACTTCTCCAACCTTCCCATCACAAGACAGAGAACGCAGGAATTTCTGCTTCCCAAGTTTGTGAGTTCAGAGAGAAGAGGTGGAGGGGAAAAAAAGTATTATTTATCCTCATATATAACCCTTGAAATATTTACTACCAATGGGCAAACAGCAAATGTGAATATGGGTACAGCTGACTCAAAAGCTCAAACTCAACCAACCAAAATATCCCGCCTCACTCCATTACACAAAACTGCCTCCTCAGATGAGAAAAATGGTTAACTCACCTGAATTTAGGTTTACTTCTGCCAACACAGGGTAGAACAGTGTTTCCCAAACCTCATCACTTTCAGAGACTGATTTATTTGATCTGGGATAGACCCGTTTATCTATCCATCTAAATGTGGTGGGATTTTTTGGTTTGTTTGTTGTTTTTGCACCTGTAGTTAGGAACCTCAGTAAAGGGTGAACAGAATCATCTAGCAGAAAATAGGCAGAAGCTGAGGGGTGGGGAGGGGTGTCAAGAAACCAGGACTCTACTATCTACTTGGCTACTATCTACTGTGGTGTAATCCTCACCCTTCCTGAAGTTTTTCTCTATAAAAATGGAAACATCTGCTCTATCAATCCCTCTTAGATGGGATAATTACAAACACAAAGAACATATAATGGAGTAATTGTGAAGAAAAGCAAAAGATTCACTTGAGGAATTTTTGTTCTACTTGGCAACATTTAGTGAGGCCAAGATATATATGTTAGGGAGTCACAATGGTCTGGGTAGCTTGCAAGGAGAGTAAGGAGCCTGTTACAACAAAACATTCCCAAAATCCAATTAGTATGCAGTATTTTGCCAGTTAGCCATATCTTGTTCAACCCCACCAATGTGAAAAGGTTTTCTTTGTTAGAAATCTTTTTATTAAAGATAGCTTTGAGGCCACTGAATATAGTTTAGAAATGTAGTTTGGGCGGCCTGTGAGAATTAGCCCATCATTAAGAGCTTCTGACTGGACATCAGAAAACTTGAGTTTTAATCTATTATCCTATTCTTTGTGACCGTGGACACATCAGTTGCTCTCTCTAGGTCTATCTTATCAGTAAAGTAAGGTAACTAGGTTATATCAGGGATTCAGAAACACTTACTTATGAAGCCTGTGGATGATGTTTGTGAACCAGAGGATTATACGCAAAATTCTAATTGTGTATGTGGGCATTTTCTGAGGGAAAGAACACTAAATTTTCATTTGATTCACAGAGGCTTGCGACGAAATAAGATTAAGGACTATTTGACTATCAGTCTTAAGCTCTCATATTCTATTCAATCATCCATAATGGCTCTGGAAGCAAAAGTTTAGAGCCTGAAGTATATACAAGGAATTGAATCTGGAGTACAAGGACAAGATAATGACTATGTTTTTTCCCAGATCGCATCAGGTTTTATTTTCACGATGACCAGAGGTGACTTGCTTCTAGTGGGTGGATGTAAATCAAAGCATCCCAAAAGCATCAGAAGGGAGTTAAAAGTCACTCCAACCTCAGACTCACCAAGCCCTAAGGACAAACTGGCTGCAACAGAATCCTAATGGCCAATGCCAAGAGGTGCTTTGATTCTGTGACTACCCCGCCTACCCACTTTATGAAGTGCTCCTTCCCCTAATCCTATGTATCTTCCCAATGGTCTGAAATCCGTCTGTCCCGTAGGGATTCACTGCTTCGGTTTTGCAAAGTCTGAACATCCTGTGCAACCCAACTCTTCTGGGAAGAGACAAGACATCCTGACTCAATTAACTAAAACTTGCAAGTGGAAGGTGGGCGGGCAGGTAGAGGGCTGGAAGGGAAAGTGGGAGGGCTCAGGGTGCGAGCGGCCAGACTGGGATCAACCTCAAGGACACAGGGAGTCCAAAGCGCAATTTACAGCTGTGCCCGCACCCTTACAGCACCTCTTGCGGGGAGAAGGCTCAAATTCCACCCGAAGCCAGGGGCGCGGAGGGGGGGGGCCTATACTTGCAAATATTACACCTGCTCTAGGTTTGGAATCTGGTCCGGCCGCGCCCGGGCCCGTGGGGGGTTCGCGCTCTCGAACAGGGTACGGTCAAGTGCACACGCCACCCCGGTACCGGGTCTCCACGGACAGAAGCAAACCCCAGCTCCGGGCTCTCTTCACCAAAGCGAGCTCTTCCAGCCCTTTCTGCCGCGCGAGGTCGCGCTACAACCCCAGGCTCCTCCGCCACAGCCACAGCAGAACGGCGAGCCTCCCACCCTTTGCCCTCCCAGAGCCTCCGTCCCCCGCCACCCCTTCCCCCGCTTTAGCAAGATGGCGGCGAGCGCACTTCCGGTGAGTGTCCGTCGCGGCGCGTCCGGGCGGCCGCCGCGGGTGTCAGTTAGCGGGTTCCAGCCTTTCTGCGGCGAGACGCTGCACCGGTGATGGCGGGCGAGCAGTCTGGCTGGAGGCGGGCGGCTCTGCTCCAGCTCCTTCTTGGCATGAGCCTGATGGTGACGCCACCCACCCAGGCCCGGAGCCTGCGCTTCGTTACCTTGGTATGAGGGAGGGGGCCCCAAAGGGGTCGCCAGAGCCGGGGGAGCACAGGCCTGCGGTGGAGGGACGGGCGGGGCTTGTGCTGGGGTCGGGGGTCCGGAGGAGGAGATGCTTAGGGGACCCCTGGCCCGGGGAGTGGGGGGCCAGCCAGGGATCAGAATGGCTGGCGGAGGCTCGGGTTATGGGGCGGGGGAGGCGTGCGGGTGTCGGGAGTTGTGTGTCAGGGCGTAGGTGGAGGAGAGTGCCCCGGAATAGGAATGTAATGGACAGTTTAGAGATTCGCTCCTAAAGAAGCCTTTAGTGATCTTTTTTTCAGTGCCCACCCCCACCACACACACACTGTGTTTCTGTTTCTTTTCTTTTACGAACTACCTCTGGCTTTGTCTCTAGTGGCATTGCTTAGCCAAGTTAGAATCTCTGGAACCTGCAAGAAATTACTGACTTGTGAGTTGGGATCTCTTGCAGTGGGTATTGTTAAGGCTTCCCAGAGAATGTGAGGCTTCCCTCCCCAACGGGGGACAGAGATGGGCCCCGTGTCCCCTTCAAGGACACCCCTTTGACCTGTGGGCAACCCCTTTTCTTTCCTCAGCTCTACCGACATGGAGACCGTTCTCCAGTGAAGACATATCCCAAGGACCCCCATCAGGAGGACGAGTGGCCCCAGGGCTTTGGGCAGCTAACCAAGGTGTGCCAGAAGCCAGTCCTTAAGATAAGCTGCGGGATGAGTGACTAGGGAACTTGGGCCCCCACCAAACTGCTGTTTCCCATACGGGTGCTGACTTCAACCAGATTTTTTTTTTTTTTTGTATAGAGGCATGTTTGTTTTGTTTGTTTGTTTGTTTGTTTATACAAGCACTGGGTACAGTCAGAAGCGCGGGAGGGTGAGAGGATTCACCAGAGCCAGAGCGGGGAGCAGAGCAGGCAGAAGGACTGAGTACACTGCTGAGGGGAGCAGCGGGCGGCAGGAGAGGTCTGCGTGCTATGCGGGACCCTCCTCTGGTGGCCGGGGAGCAGCCGGGGATCGAACCGGCGCTGCAGAGGACGCGGGCAGCCTCGCAACCCAGCGTTCAACCACTGCGCCACTGGGGAGGCCCTCAACCAGATTTCTTAACCTTACTTTCCTCTGTGCCCAGGACAGTGCCATACATGGTTGGGCACTTAATGACTGCTGGGGTCAGATTAACCCAGTCCTACTTCCAGCCAGGGGTGAACTTGGAAAGCAACAGTGCCTAAACCCTGTGGGACTCGGCAATCATCCCTTCCCTCTGGGCCTCCGTAACCCTTGACTTTGCCCACAGGAGGGGATGCACCAGCACTGGGAGCTGGGCCAAGCTCTGAGGCAGCGCTACCGTGGCTTTCTCAACTCCTCTTACCACCGACAAGAGGTGAGGCTGGGAGCTCAAGAGGCAAGGGGGATGGGATCTCTGTCCTCAGAGAGCCTAAGGGTGAGTCTGGACACACTGACCACCCTCCACCCTCTTACAGCTATGGGACAGGACATGCAAGAGCTGTCTGGAACACAGCCCTGAGGCTAAGTTGCCTGGGAAGAGGCAAAATGTACTAGACTTAAGGACCTGGCAAAGTAGTTTCTGACTGTAAAGTAACTCATGCTTTCCATTCAAGACATGTAGGGCCAAGCACTGTGCTAGCACTTTCCATGTAATGGTGCGCCACCGAGATGTCTTTATCTTTGTGGGCTTGGAGGTAATGAGGGTGACAGGGCTGAGCAGGTAGAGGGGGCACGTCAGGGAAGACTGGTGAATGTGCGGGCTGCCCTGGGCCCTCTTCCCCACGGCAGGCATGGGGATAACCGCTCCTCTGGTTGCCACTGTCAGCCACGGCTATCTCAAGTCACTGGGTGTATTGTTCCCTGGCAGCCAGCTCTATCCTAGTGTTCCCCACAGCTTCCTCCTTTTCTACAATAATTATCTCTGATCCTATCTTTTTCCCTCTCTCTGTTCTCTCAGCCAGTTTATCAGTGCAGCTGACAGTCTCTGCCCTCAAGCACCCTGGCCTGGATAGGGAGATAAGCCTTGTTATGAAACCAGACAGACCGGGGAGCCTTTAGATTAGGCCCTTTGGATTTGGGGTGCTATATGAATCAGGGTTGTTCCCCCACTTCTACCCTTGTGGGGACAGCTAGCCCCCGGCAGGGTGTTAGGGGCTTTTGCTGGGAAGAGAGGTGGGGAAGAGCAGAGAGGGGACAAGGGCCAGGTGCATGATGGGTTTCGTTTGCTTGGTAATCATCAAGAATAGGTTATTGCCCTGGGGCCCACTGAGGGGCCAGAGCACCCCCCAACTACATCACGCTGGCGACACGCTTGCTGTCATGTCCACAGGTTTATGTGCGGAGCACAGACTTTGACCGGACGCTCATGAGCGCCGAGGCCAACCTGGCTGGACTCTTCCCTCCCAGCGGGATGCAGCGCTTCAACCCAAACATCTCTTGGCAGCCCATCCCCGTCCACACCGTGCCCATCGCTGAGGACAGGGTAAGACTGGCCAGTCCTGCTCTGGAGGTGGTGAGAGGGACAACCCTGGCCATGAACCTGCCTCTCTCTCCCTCACTTTGGTCTGCAGCTGCTGAAGTTCCCGTTGGGCCCGTGTCCTCGTTATGAACAGCTGCAAAACGAGACCCGGCAGACCCCAGAGTATCAGAATGAGAGTATTCAGAATGCAGTGAGTGGGGCTAAGGTCAAGGTCATCACACTGTCCTTCCCCCCACCCCCACCCCCGGGGGCAGGACTTATGCCCTGATCCATTTCTCATAGCAATTTCTGGATATGGTGACCAACGAGACAGGCCTTACGGACCTGACACTGGAGACTGTCTGGAACGTCTATGACACACTCTTCTGCGAGGTGAGCCCGTTTAGTGTCCCCAGTGTGACTGCTCTTCCCTCACCTCAGCAGGCCCAGGTGACCAGGACAAGTAAGACACAGTGCCTGGAGACCAGCCCCTCTTGTGAAACCAGGGAACTTCCCTCATGGGGGAAAAAGAACCTCAGAGTGGGAAATGGTTTGTTGATTGTCAGCAGTTCCTGCTCCTCCACCCGGAGCTCTCGTGGTGTCCAGCTCCATTCTGCTGCATCATGCTTTTGGGCCTGCTTTCCTATATCCTTCCTCCTCAACACTGTGCGCCGTGTCTCTTGGTCCAGTCTCTTGGCCTCAGTCCTTTTCCTCCCCTCTCCCCTTCCTGCATGCACACACACACACAAGCACACACACGTGTGCACGCACACCCACACATACACAGGTACCCTCCTGCCCGGGAGGACAGCTGCCCCGGGAGAGGCTCCGGCTTAGGCCTGGGGATTTAACTTGCCTGCTGCGGTACACAGCAAACACACGGGCTGGTCCTGCCACCCTGGGCCTCACCCCAGACCATGCAACGTCTGAGCCAGCTGAAGGACTTCAGCTTCCGCTTCCTCTTCGGGATCTACGAGCAGGCAGAGAAGGCCCGACTTCAGGGCGGTGAGTGGCAAGGGCAGTATGTCACTCCCCTCCTCAGGACCCTCCAGCATCATAGACCTGCTCTTGGGGGCTTCTTGCACACTTACTTCCTCTGTGAAATGTTCTCTGCTCTTTCCGTACCAGAGCCCCCTCGCCGTCCCATTAGTCCCGCAGTCTCCCCGCTCCCGGAGCACTTAGCACAGCGGTCACCGTACGAATGACCGCAGGCGGGTGTGCATGCTGCTTTTCTGCCATTTGTTTTTATAAGTTCCACCCAGGTCAGAAGATGGTCCCTTGAATGAACTTTCACCCCTAGAGAACCACTGGGGCCCCATCTGAAGGAAGGCTGAGTAAAACACATGCCCCTTTCCTGAGTGCGCGCCCAGGGGGAGCCGGTGTCAAACCTTTCCGACATCCCTTGGCGGAGTCCCCTGGGGTGCCCACAGCTGGTGTTCTCAAGCTTAACATACTGTTCTAACGAGTCACTCTGGTATGGGCAGGGTCTCGCAGCTCATTTGTAAGCGGGCAGGTTTCTACATCTGAGTGGAAATCCTTCCTGAGTGGAATCCTTCCAAGGTGCAGAGACTCTGGCTTTGCTTCTGTGCCGCCCATTCTCTGAGACTCGCGCTATGCCTGCTTTCGTCCTTCTGAAAGTTCTTAGAGGGCGGGGGGCTGTAGAGTCCCTGTGAGGTTCCCGGGCGCCCAGAGTTCCTGTGCTGCTGATCACCCCCAGGACCAGCAGAGGGTGACAGGACCGCAGGCAGTGTGGTCAGAAGACAGGGATGGCTGTCGCCACTCACTCTGGGGACTTTCCTCTTCCAGGAGTCCTGCTGGCTCAGATACGGAAGAACCTGACCCTGATGACCACCTCCTCCCAGCTCCCTAAGCTGCTGGTTTACTCTGCGGTAAGCTGCCGCGGTCCCCAGCGTGCTGACAGGAGGGGAGCTAGATTTCTTCTCTGTCCGTGCCGGCCGGGGGGTGGGGGGGAGCAGTGCTGAGGGGAAGCCCTTCTCCCTCACAGCATGACACCACCCTGGTCGCTCTGCAAATGGCACTGGATGTTTACAACGGCAAGCAAGCCCCCTATGCGTCCTGCCACATGTTTGAACTTTACCAGGAAGATAATGGGTGAGTGGAGCTCTAGCGGTCTGTCCTCAGGAGGGAAACGGGCGCGGTGGCTGCGGGCCGCCTGAGGCTCTGGGTGACAGGCCTGGTGAGCAGCCCCCATCTCGCTCTCTTGCTCCCGATCCACCCTCAGGAATTTCTCTGTGGAAATGTACTTTCGAAATGAGAGTGACAAGGCCCCCTGGCCACTGATCCTGCCGGGCTGCCCTCACCGCTGCCCTCTGCAAGACTTCCTTCGCCTGACAGAGCCTGTCGTGCCCAAGGATTGGCAGCACGAGTGCCAGCTGGCATCCGGTCCTGCAGACACAGGTGAGCTGCTGCCTGCCTCTATGCTCGGCAAGTCCCAGGCGAATTTCAAGGCACACCCACAAGGCTCAAGAGAGCTGGCACGCCTCCAGCCATCTCACAGCACGTCCCTGGACGGTTCCGTTCCCACTTGGAGACCATTTCGCATGTCCTCCCTCCGCCGCCTCCCATCTCCTCAGGGGAAGCCCTCGCTGCTGGTATCTCTGAGGTGATACAAGTGACCAGGGCAGAGCTGCCTCCTTCTTCCACCACCAGGCCTTCCAGCTTGCTGGCCTGAGCCAGTATTCCGCATATATTCTGGATCCATCTCATCTGACCTCCACAAGCACCCCTGACATCTCAGTCCCATCTCAGATTCCTAACACATTTTCAGCCACCACCTGCCTCCACCTTCCACTCCGTTTCTCTGTTCCCTTTGAGAGTGGAATCCTTCCAAGTTGCAGAGACGCTGACTTTGTTCCTGTGCCGCCCATTCTCTAAGACTCGCGCTATGCCTGCTTTTGTCACCCGCTTCCTTGAAGTCACTCTTGTCAAGGTCCAGCATGTATGACATAACTGGTCACTCCTTCCTGGAACACTTTCTTGGCTTCTGTGGTTTCTCTCCTGGCTTATAGGCAGCTTTCTTACTGGCTTCTCCTTCTCTGCAAACAGTAGCTACCCAGGCCTCATCATTATTCCCTCTCAGGATTTCTTAGACCCCCCCCCTCCATGCTGAGCAGTGACTCATGGATTCACAGCCTCTTTCCTGAACTACAGACTCGCATCTCTAGCTGCCGACTTGCGGTCTTGCATGGATATCAGCTAAGATACTTTCCCCCAAATCCACCCTTCCTCCAGCCTTCTCTTTTATAGTAACGGCCACACTGGGGCACTGTGCTAGCTGCATAGTATAATCCTAGGAGTTCCCTTCCATGTCCTTTTTCTCAACTGCCACATCCAGTCCGCTAGCAGGTCCTAACAGCGCAACATTTAAAATGCACGCTCTTGCCTGCCTCGTCCCATCTACTAGCATCTCTTGCCTGAACCACTCAGAAGCTCCTCACATTCTTTGATTCTCTTCCTACCAGTCTCCCAGCATAGCAAAGTTAAATAAATAAATCAGTTCACACCACCATGCTTCTCAGAATCTTCTAGTCACATCCCTCTCATTTGGAATACAATCCAAGTCCTTGCCCAAGGCCTTCCAGGCCCTACTTGGTCTGCTCCTCTCCTGTCTGCTGACCCTCACTTACTCTGCGTTATCAAGACCAACTTTCTGCTGATCCTAGAACATGCCAAGCTTATTCCCACAGGAGGTTCTTTTGTATTTGCTGCTTTTCTCCTCATCCCCTGCTGCAAGGACACTTCACTGAGCTCTTGTTAGGTCTCACTCAGTGACCCTGGGTCTTTGTTCAGACGGTCACTTCTTCACTGATGCCTTCCCTGACTGATCTGCCTCTCTGTTGGTTTGTTTTACTTTATAGCATTTGTCACTAACCTAGCCTTCCTATTGTTTGCTTTTTTTACTGGCTCTCTCCACAAAGGCAGAGATTTATCTTGGCCCCCTATGTGTGTCCCCATTGTCAGACCAGCACCTGGCATGTTCTAGGCATGCAAATATTTGTTGAATGAACACTGACGTGACCTTTCTCTCTCCCACCCTTCTCTGCCCAGAGGTGATCGTGGCCTTGGCTGTCTGTGGTTCCATCCTCTTCCTTCTCATTGTTCTGCTCCTCACTGTCCTCTTCCGGATGCAGGCCCAGCCTCCTGGCTACCGCCACGTCGCAGATGGAGAGGATCACGCCTGACAACTACTCAGCCCCCTTCCCTCTGCCTCCTAGGGGAGGTGGGCTAGGCCCTTGCTCCTGACTGTTGCTGCTCCCCAGCCTGTGGACAGGAGACCCTGGGTTGGGGCTCCCTCTGATTGCATACATGAACAAGTGGGGCTTGGCTTGGCCTATGGCACCTGTCACTCAGCATTCACGTGCCTGATGTTTACCAAGTACTGTGTTGGACACTGGCTTTCTCTAAACAGGATCTGCCGCCACCATGCTCCTTATGGACTTGAAATGTAGACAAGGATTCAAGTTTCACTGTGGGCCTGGGCTAAGAAAGACTGAAGGAGTCAGGGCTTGGTCTGCCTTGCCTCTCCATCAAACCCTGCTCTCTCTCTTCCAGCCTGGCAAATGGCTCAGAGGACAGTCTTGCCAACAGGAAAAATTACGCAGGAAAAATTACGCAACATTGGGGGTACAAACATTGGCCACCAAGAGACCAATCACCCAATAGCTGGCCAGCCAAGTTTTCCTGTCTGGCTGAAGCCACCATTCATCAGACCTAAGGCTCCGGGCATCTGTCCCCCACAGCTAGAGCAGGTGGGACAAGGGCTTGTGCTTGGGAGGGGGGAGGGGTCCAGTGATCATGGTCTAGAATCAAGAAACTGCTGTCCCCCCCAGCTGGGCTGGGGTCTCCAGGAAGCTGAGGTAAATGCAGGACATAAGTTGGACAGCTCTTGACTGTGGCCTGGGATCGGGCTGAGGCAGCTTCTAGAGAATGAAAGTTTGGGACTCTTAGTGCTGTTTCTGTGCCTTTTCTTCATTTTGGGGCCCCAAGGAGCCATCTGCCCAGTCACTGCTGGAAGATCCACTCAGAAGCTTAGTTGGGTTTGGTTTTATTGGCCATGTCAACAGTGAGCACACATCGAAACCACTACCTGATCACCCTGCCACTGCATGTCAGAGAGGAGAAAAGTATCTTGGCTCCAGGAGAAGCTTGGCTGCAGGCTAGATAGAGCAGTGACCCTGGAGCAGCTGGGTCTCCGACTCTGGAGACGTGTCCGGAGCTAAGTTCAGGGCAGTAGCGTGTCCCAGTCCCACAGTGTCCCATGCCAATGTCCCTGCTCCAGCCCTCCACTTGGGTCCCTTTGGCCCTTTAACAAACAGCTGTCTTTTCTCGCAGGACTTATTCTCTTGTGGCTCCAAGCCCTGGCTTGGCCCGCGCCTTCATTAATGTCGCTCATCTCCGAATCCCAGCTTCCTCGTGGCTCCAAATGAGAATGTGGTAGCCTAGGAGAAGTGAGACTAGTCTGACTTGCACCTTCCATTATCACTCTCTGACAGCACGGGGCTGGCCCAGGACTTGGTGAGGAAATACCAGGAAACTGGACAGTAGCCAGGCATTGCCAGGAGAAAGCAAAGCTATAGAGGGCTTAGGCCAAAGAGACCGCTGTCACCTGTTTATCTTAACTGTCACCCTGGGCTGCATGTGACAGGGCTGAGCTGAGGTTAGCCTGCACTGGACCTCAGAGAGGAGGGACAGGCTTGGCTAGTCAGAGATACAACCAACCGCACTCACCCATCACAGAGGCCAGTGTGTCCCCCATTGGATTGAACTCATTGAGCTGCAAGGACAAGGGGGTAAGCATAAGGAGGGGGTAAAGGGAGTAGCAGAGACAGAGTTGGGGACTCATTTCTGGTCAATAAAGTAGGTGGAATCCCTGTTTCCTCCCATCATTATTCAAGGTCCCAAGCCTCACCGAAATGATGCCAGAAGATTCTGGGTCATAGAGTTGATACATCATCTTTCCTGAGCTTCCATCAAACACATCAACCGTCCTTAATTCATAGGGGGTACAGCTTTTGAAATTAGGATCTGGGTATCGGCCCACAACAATGAGGTTGTACCGGGGATGCCAGGTTGCCTAGGAGATGGAGAGGCTGGTCACGAGAGTAAATGCACAACACTGTTGAGAGGGACACAGAATTATCCTTTGCCACTAGCAATTGTTAATACAATCGCCAACAATTCAGTAATGTAGGTGAGACCTACAAGAATCTTAAGAATGGTTTTCAGTTGCAGTACATTTGCCGGTGCACATTTTTAATCCCCCAGGTGGCCTCCCTGGCCCTTAGGACACTTTCAGGTCTTCTCTCTTTTGCATTCCCTGAGGTTAGACCCACTGATTCATGATTTCACATCAGCCTGACCCAGAAATTAACCAGAGGTAAGCCTGCAGCAATGCAGAAAAATCCCTGGGGCCAAAACCAAAGAGGTGTAGGTTCTGAAGTAACCCTGCTACCACCCCTCCTCCATGATCATGAACAACGAAGAGTTGAGTATAAAATGGATAATGGCTGGCAAGTGGGTAGGGGGTGGGTGGGAAAACTGTTCCTGACGACCACACTGGAAACAAATCTCGCTAATACTGGAATGACAGAATTGGATGGTCCCAGGAAAGTGCTAAGACGTTTTGGAGCAGGAAGACAAGGTTAGCAGCAAGGAAGAAGTAACTGCAGTGGCTCGGAAGCAAGTACAAGTCACACCTGTGGAGCTGCCCGTTGGCCTGGCTGCACACACACTGGATGTAAGGCCGGCGAGTCAGCCGCAGCACTGATGAAGGGGCCCGGGTGACTCAGAGCTAGGATGTGGTTTGTGGGACCTGAGGCCACACTGCCACCACATCATCACTGCTCACTGAGTTCTTGCCAGGTGCTGAGTTTACTGATTCATCCTCATGACAGCCCTGCCAGATACTAGCATCCCCTTATAGGCGAGGAAGCTGAGCTCCACATGTCAGAGGACTGGAACCCAGGTGTCTGCTCCTAGACTGACCAAAGGAGCACAGGGTGAAACCTGGAGGTCTGCAGAGGGGTGGTGGTTCTGGGAAAGACCACGGGCAGAGCAGCAGAGCTGGCAGAGTAGGCTGGGGTGTGGGCAGGCAGGAATCCCAAGACTTGAACGCCATAAGCCATGGGAACCGAAGACAGAAGGTGCTAGTGAGAATTTGAGACAAAACAGGGAAACAGGCCTATTTCAATTAAGTCACCTAAACCTGTGCGGCAAACTAGGAAGGTGAAGGCAGCTTCTGGATAACTGTACACACCGGCAGCAGAACAGAGGGCCGAACAGAGGCGGGATGTGAGAAGATGCCCTCAACTGAGACCAGGACTGGGCTAAAAAAAAAAAGCTCAGGAAAATAGCTTATCACAGAGACACAAAGACCCAGCAAAATGGGATTGCAGGAGTGGGGCAAGGAGCAGAGAGCCCCCAAGGGATACTGCGTTTGTGTGGGACAGGAAGGGATTTAGGGCTAAGGCTTCCACATCTGCCCCCTCCCCACCTCAGGCAGACCTGATACATCCCATCCCATCATCACAGCTCCCTCCTCACTCACCTTGATGGATGTCAGGTGCTGGAACTGGCGGTGGGGGTGCGGGATCAAGCTTGGAGGGCAGTCCCACTGGGAGGCAGAGTAAACCCGGATCTCACTCTTCTGATCCGTGGTCAGGAGCTGGGAGCCATCAGGACTGAAGTAAGCTGGCAAAGGGAAAACCCCCTGAACTGAAGGAACCACCGCCCCCTGTTGTCCTGGCCTTCACAGGCCTCCTCTTGCAGGGGCTCCCTGCTCTTCACACAGGCGTGGAGGGGAGTTGCTGAATGTGGGCCGTGGAAAAAAACAGTCTAAACACTCAGCAGCATTGGGGGCAGCCAGAGAAGTTCCCCCGAGGTGTCAGCCCAGCTGGTGCTCTCCAGAGTAAAGGTTTGACTTGGCAGCGTGTAAACTTTGAGGGAAACCCCGAAGTGGTCCGGTAGGCCAGGTCGCAGGAAGGGTGCGTTCTGGCATAGCATACCTGAGTTGACACCCTGCGTGTGCTGCAGCGAGGAGAGGAAGCTGGACTTCCCTCTGACCTGGCGCAGGTCCCAGATCTTCACTGTTTGATCCACAGAGGCTGTGGCCAGGACCCAGTCGCAGCACGGGTTCAGAGCTACGTGGGTCACTTTCTTTTTGTGCATTTTCAGATTCCAAAGCTGCAGAGAAGAGCTTGGTTCAGGTAGGAGCACAGACCGAGGCTGGGGGGAGGGAGGGAATGGGAGGAACTGGGCCCCAAAGGACGCACCTCCTTGCCATCCATGTTCAGCAGGACCACGTGCCCCACATTGTCTCCTGTGACCACCACTCGGCTTTTGGCAGACACATCCAGGCTGCAGAACCAGAGGCTGGAGGGAGAGACTGTGCTGTAAGATTCTTGGGGACAGGCAACGCCATTCACTGTGGCAGCACCAGAGTCTAACACATAGTAGACATTCAATGAATCGGTTTTTTCACATACAATAAATGGTTTATTAACAGGCAGGTCATTCCTGTGGGGCCAGGTGGTCCACCCAGACATTGCCCAGGACCCAGCACCAAGCGCAGCACAGCCTCAAGCCTCTTGCTTTGACACAGCAAGCACGTCACCCTTGCAAACTGGGCCACCATCCACGCTGTGGATAATGCAGGGCTCGTGCTGTTCACACCTGAGTCCTGCGTGCACTGTCCCTGCCAGCCAGTCCTGCCCAGCACCTCAATGACCCCAGCCAGCTTCATGGGCTGCACCTGGCTCATGTCTATGATGGCAGAGCCCCAATAAATACTGACTGAATCAACTAATAATACCTTGCCAAGGATTTTTATGAGTGAGGAACAATCAGACAGAGGGTAGGGGGCTCAGAAGTTTTTCTAATTACTGCTGGGCCCAGGATCCTTAGCTAGTAAGTCCCTGAAGCAGCCAAACCTCAGAACATCAGGTAAGTTCCTGGAGAGCTTGCCACCTACATTTGTTGCTTTCCCTTCACTCTCCACCCTTTGGGCCAAAGAAGAAGACAGAGCAAGCAGGGATCACCCAGCTCTGCTCCTCAGAGCTGGCTAGAAAGGAAGTTCTTCCCTCTTCTGATCAACTAGGGGAAAAAGCACACACTGAAAGGACAAAAAGGTCTTGCCCTTCAAACCACTTGAGGGCGAAGGGATTGGAGAGGGGGCAGCCTCAGGGACTCTGCAACCCAGCAGGATGGCCCAGGTTCACATTTCTTTTCTCTTGAGTCCACGCTGCACTGTGCCTTTGGCATCCCCTACGAGTATCTGCAAGAGCGAGGTCTTCCTGTAGAAGAGTAACCTGGAGCTGAGTCCGTCCGGTCCCTGTCCTGCTAGCTTGTATATTGCTTCCTGCTGTGGGGCAGCCCAGGATCATGTGAGACCCTTAGGGAGCGGGTAGAGTTGGATCTCTGGCTAAAAATCAAAGTGACACGCATTTTGTCATTTCTCCAGGCACCTGCTCTTAGTGAGTCCAGAGTGCTTTGTGGACGTGATTCTGTCTATCTACATTTCCATCAAGAAACTGGTCGGGGCATTACAACCCTGGGGAGTGTAGGGAATAAGGTCGTAAGTTCTTTACGTGGCTTTCTGGCAAACACCCTGTTGGCTCGTCTGTGGGAATCAAGGTCCAGTCTGATAGAGAAGTGACTCAGAGCACCGAAGCCCTCCTCATGCTGAGATGAGCTGAAAGCCCACGTCCCCTGAAGCCACAACCCACCCGGGCTAGCATAAGAGCAGCTAAAGAAAGAGTAAAGAGAGGGAAGGGTGGAAAGTGGCCGCCATCTCCCCCATGCCAGATCTGGATCAAAGCAATGGGATCTGGGTTTTCTCACCAGAACCACCCCACGAGCCCTTTCCCCTCCTACTTTAGCTGCTCACTTGCAGGTGCTCGAGCTGGTAAAAACACGGAGAGTGTGGCCTTGGAAGTCTTGCAGCCTTGTCGTTCCCTCCACGGAGGAGGTGAAAAACTGGTTGGCATTGGTAGGATCAAACTTCATCCCTGTGATGCTCCCTCCAGCGCCAATCTAAGAGCAGGAAGAAAAAAGCCCGATGGCCCCAGGAAGAGCACACACCTGGGGCACACACGGTGCAGCCTTCAGACTGGTTTTCATTTCACTCAGCACAATGCCCCTGGGACCCACCTCGGACACTGTGTGCACCTAGAACTCGATCCTCTTGATTGCTGAGCATTCCGTTGTGTGGAGGCACCAGCCTGTGTATCCCTTATGTCTTTTTTTTTTTTTTAAGATTTATTTATGCATACAAGAAGTAGGGTATAGGCCAGAGGTGTGGGGGGTGAGCGGATTCACCAGAGACAGAGCGGGGAGCAGAACAGGCAGACTGACTGAAATACACTGCTGAGGGGAGCAGCGGGTGAGACAGGAAGGGTCTGCTGCACCATGTGGGTCAGCTCCCTGGCCGGGGATCAAACTTGCATTGCAGTGGCTGCGGATAGCTTCATAGTGCTGTGTCTTAACCCCTTGTGCCACTAGGGAGGCCCTCCCATATGTCTTTATTTATTTATTTTTTTAAAGATTTATTTATTTATTTATACAAGCACTGGGTACAGTCAGAAGCGCGGGAGGGTGAGAGAATTCACCAGAGCCAGAGCAGGCAGAAGAACCGAAGTACACTGCTGAGGGGAGCAGCGGGCGACAGGAGAGGTCTGCACGCCATGTGGGACATTCCTCTGGTGGCCGGGGAGCAGCCGGGGATCGAACCGGGGCCGCAGAGGCAGCAGGCAGCTTCGCAACCCAGTGCTCAACCGCTGCGCCACCAGGGAGGCCCATATGTCTTTAAAGAAAAGTTTTTGATGTCAACAGAGGGCTATCAAGCCATCTAAGACTTGAAGACCACGATCCAAAAGGAAAGACAAGCAGATATTTGGATGCTGCTTTTCCTCTTGAGAATTCGCAGATAGAAAGCTGTGTCTTCGAAGTCAAGAAACCAAATGGCATAGAAGCTGAGCAGCTGAGCAGAGGTCCTCACAGGGCAAGAGAGATAAACACTGAAGTTCAGCCTTGCCCAAGGAAAAAGGTCTTGGAAAAAGTGAGCTTTTAGTCAAGATCCTGGACACTCTAGAAATAAGAACACACTAGAAATAGACCATCCCTCACAAAGACTAACGTCTCGTTTCAAATCATGCCAACCTCCAATCAGATGAAGATGATATGCTTCCACTCTACTTGCCTGTTATACAATAAAAAAATAGACCAAATTTTTAAATGGACAAAGGATTCAAATAGACATTTCTCCAAAGAAGATATACAAATGGCCAGTAGTACATGAAAAGATGGTCAGCATTATTGGTCAGTAGGGAAATGCAAATCAAAACCACAATGAAACACTATTTCATACCCACTAGGTTGGCTATAATCAAAAAGATGGACAAAAACAAGTGTTATGGGCTTCCTGGTAGTGCAGGGTTCAAAGTCTCAGCTCTATCAAGCTATGCAAGCCACTGCAGCATGAGTTTGATCCCCGGCCAGGGAAGTGACCTAGATGGCACAGCAGACCTCTCCTGAGTCACCCGCTGCTCCCCTCAGCAGTGTACTTCAGTCAATCTGCCTGTTCTGTTCCTCACTGTCTCTGGTGAATCCTCTCACCCTCCCCGCCACCTCTGGCCTGTACCCCAGCTCTTGTATGCATAAATAAATAAATCTTTTTTAAAAAATCATAAAAATAACAAATACTGTATGATTCTGTTTATATATGATGCTTAGAATAGTCAAAATCAGAGAAACAGATACTTAGAATAGTCAATACCAGAAAGACAGAAAGTAAAGTGGTGGTTGCCGGGGGTAGAATGAGGGAGGAATCGGGAGTTAGTGTTTAATGGACAGACTTCACTTTTGCAAGATGAAAAAGTCCTGGAGACTGGTTCTGACAGGGGTGAAGGATGTCCTGAGCAAACTCCATACAGGCTTTGTGGACTCCACCCCCACGACACTGGAAACTACAAATCCCACGATCACCAAAGGGAAGGTTATGAGGACCTGAGGGTGGAGTTAAGCAACTAGGCTCTCAGTTCAGGTATTTACCTGGCCATGGGGCGGGGCGGGGAGGGGGGCAGGGGTTGCTGGCTTGGCCAAGAGGGTGCGAAGATTTTGCCAGCTCGGGGGTCATTGGGATTCCAGGTCAGCGGAATGGGTAGGACACATTTACAAACTTATCTCCCTCTTTTTCTCCCTGAGTTATTCATTTCCCCATCTCCCCTTCCCTTGTAAATAAACCTTTTATCAACCTTTTGTGTGTGTCTGCAGTTTAGCATTCATAAGTCCCCTTTAAGGGCACAAGTTGAGGACCCACAATCAGGCAACCCCATTTTATGTCGGGGTTTGCCCTGTAAGAGTTCCATTGAGAATGTGAATGTACTTAGAGCCACTGAACAGAACACTTACATGACTATGATGTGTTCTCCACCATCACTTTAAAAAAAATCAAGATATTTTATGTAGAAAATCAGGGTTTCAGGCTTAATTTGAAAAAAAAAAAAATCAGATCTGATACCACAGGACCTACATTCTTACATGACAACCATCTCCAGTTTACTGCTGACCCCACCACCCACATCATTCTTTTATGTTTGGCTTCTTTATGAGTTTGTGACTCAGGTGCTAAACACAGAGCTATACTGTACTTTTCACAGTGAAACCTTCTCCATCAATTCTGACTCACTCTTATTTTCTGTAGCATCTAGCATCTGTGTTGCTAGTTATCTTATATGTAAACTTGCCCTCCACCCAGTTATACTTCTCATTAAGCAAATATAGAGCAGTCACTCCAGGCCTAGAAAATCACCACCATTGATGACACGGTGATATCAGAAACAAAAGACAAGGTCCCTGCTGTCATGGAGCTCACTTTCCAGTGGGCAAAGATGCACAAGTAAAAAAAAAAACATGTTACATACTGATGAACACTGTGAGGGGGACAGTGCCGCAGGGTAATGAGGTAGGGAGTGACTAGATGGGGTGGGGGTTCCTTTACTCAGTGTTGCCAGTGAAAGTCTCTCTGAAGAAGTCTATTGAGCTGAAACCTGGATGATAAGAGGGAGCCAGGTGTGAGAAAACCACGGGAAAGAGCACTCTAGAAAAAGGGAGCAAGCGTAAAGACTCAGGTTCAGGCAATAGAAGGAGCTAGTGTGGCTAAAGCATGTGCAATAAAGAAAGACCATCATACAAAATGAGGACAGGACTGAAGAAGGGGCTGATTGTTTTCTATGAGGTGAGTTACTAGGGAGGTGATTAATATTTTACATCTTCAAATATCTTAAGGGCCGGCATTCAAGTAAGAGTTTAGTATCACCATTTACTTTTTTGAAAATAAACCCACAGTTATTTTCCATCCCAATCATCTTCTTGTTACTGGGTGACTTTTCATGTCTTTATGGAACATGTTTTCATCACAGGCAACTGCTTACCCCTTTTATCAAAGTGGGTTTGTCCTTTATCCCCAAGTTCCAGAGCATGATATCTCCCCCTTTGGAACCCACAGCCAGGATGCTGGGGTGAGTTGGGTGCCATGCCAAGGAAGTGGCCCTCCTGTCGAAGGGTGCAGCTTTTTGGAATATTCGATAAGAAGCCAGAGAGTGCAAAAAGGACTGCTGGAGAACCTGACACAAAGAGAAGAAAATTAGATCGAATGAAAACCTAACTCCTGAGCAAACTGCCAATCTCTTCCTCCTCCATGATGAGCCCTGGGGGCAAATCCTCCCACCAGAGGAAAAGTAAATGTCTAGTTCTGTGCACGAAAATTTTGTAATGTACGTGACCTAATCTTAGAAAACAAGGGTGCAGTCTGGATTCCAGCTGCAACCTTTAGAGTGTAAGACTTCTGGCTGAGTGTCCAGTAGGCCAGTCTTGGGGGCGGGGAGTGGAGGGTGCTTCCCATTGTGACAACCCTCTGAACCAACCTAGCATCTTAATTTTGGAGCATGTGGTAGTAAAAAGGTGCCACACAAACCCTTGAGCGCCTCACCTGCAGTAGTGATGGCCAAGGAGTTTTGCCCAGCTTATGGTGATGGAGGGCCCTGATGATGCTGCTGCAGGGTGGCGGGACCTGCAGACTAGCCAACCCCGTCCAGAGGCAGCCTGAGTCAAATCTTCTGCTAGAACCTGCCAAGCAGAACAAACACATATTTGCCTCACTCAACTCACTGAAGGTTTTTCTGCTGAATCCCATAAAGCCTTGTTGTTTCATTTGGCATAACCCATGTCTCATCACCTCCTAAGGCCATGGTCTGCTCAGTGTCACCCAACACAGGACACAGTGAGTAGGGATTCCGCCCCTTCCCATAACACGGCCCCAAATAGTAATTCTGAAGTGAAACTAAATATGATCTTTTGGTTCCTGAGAGCTGAGCCAAAGAAACACACAGAATAAATAAAGAATAAAGTATACTGCCAAACTCTTCCCAGTTTGGGCTAGAAAACTTGTCATAGAGTTGGATGGCAATTTTAAAATCATATAAATGCACAATAAAAACAGTTTAGGGCACCACAGAAGTGACTGTTTGGGAACAGAAGTATCTTTAAATCCTATATTGAAATAATGTAAGGTGGCTAGTTGTTGGCCCCAACTTCAATCAGTTCTCCTGGAAAGCAACAGGATCCAGGGGGCCTGGGATGGCTCTAAATTAACGAGGTTTTTTGGGGGGGAGGGGACAAGTAAATCTACTCAGACTGGAAATAAGGCAACTCTGGGTTACCAAGATGTATTTGACGATCTAATCTCCACAAATCCGACCTCTTGACAACCAATATTTTTTCCCTCATGGACAAAAACCACTTAATCGACAACCCCTGCTCCAATCTTTTGAGTTCCCCCACACTTATCACCCCAGGTTCAAGTCCCAATAATCCTCAGTGAATGGGTTTTCTCAGGAAGGAAACCGGGGAAATGAGGGCTCTCACAGGTGAAACCAAGGACCTACAGGTAACAACCTTGACGATGATAATTCAGTGCCTCTCCACCAGGCAAGGTAGGGTTCGTTTAAACATCCCTGTGTGTAAAACCCCTGGTACGAACAAGGAATCTGGAAAGTTCCATTATGATGTAGTGGTGCTCATCTTCCCAGCTCCTGGGGTGGGGAAGGGGCAGGGGGAGGAAAGCCCAAAATCTATGGCGTCTCAGAACCTGCAGACAAAATGCGCCGTCTGAGGCACCTGAAACTGGCCCCAGGAACCTCGGGGCACTGATCCCCCACTCCTCATGAGGACCCCAAATGGCGAATTATCAAAGCAGCAGGCGCAGGCAGTACCGGGGCGCTTCGCAGAGAGCTGCTTGGCCTCGGGCTCCAGCTCCCGGGGACTTCTGCTCCTCTTGCACTTGGGGCGCACAACCACCTCGGGGGTCTTCTGGGTTTGGGGGCGTTTCTTGGGAGCCATGCGTCCTCCGTGCGAAGGGGTACTATGCCTGATGCCGAGCTCAAGGCGAGATGACTGAGAAGCTTCTGGAGCACACGAGGCGGGGGCCAGGGCGCCCGCCGGGCCTCAGGTAGGCTCGCCCGGCCCACTTCCCGCCAAACGGGCGCTCGGCCGGAGACTTGGCTTCTCCTCCGGCCCCGCCCCTTTCGGGAAGGTCCCGTCCCGGAGGGGGGGGGGCGATCGTAGAGAATTGGGGAATGTGCGAGGAATGACACTCATCTGCTCCCTGGAGAGTGTGGGGAGGTTTTTTCCTTTTTGTTGTTTGGAATCGCACAGAAATGGGATTTCGCCTACGTGATGTGCCTGATAATTCCGTCAGCTGCCCTGCCAGAAATAAAGATGGCTGCCCGCGCCAGGCCACCCAATTTGAAGCCTCTTGAGACGTGGTGCTGCCAGGTCTTGCGGGGCCTTGGAAAACAGATGCCAATCAAGACGTAGGCTCCGCCTTCTGTGCCTTCTCATTGGTGAGCGTGGCTCTCTGGCTTTTGATTGGCTGATCCGTACAGCTGGCGCGGCGGCTTCGTGAAAGGCTCGGAAGCTTTGATTTTCTGCACCGGGTACCTATTCGCGCCCGCCACCTTTGCAGTGAGTGTCCAGTGTTCAAATCTTCCCAGCCCCGTCGAATCTCAGCGTCTCTGGAGAGTGATTGAAACACGCGACTTTTAGGGGCCTCCCTGGTGGCGCAAGGGGTTAAGACGCAACGTGTGAAGCTCTCCGCAGCCCCTGCAGCACGAGTTCGATCTCCGGCCAGGGAGCTACCCACATGGCGCAGCAGACCTCTCCTGTCTCGCCCGCTGCTCCCCTCAGCAGTGTGTTTTAGTCAATCTACCTGTTCTGTTCCCCACTCTGTCTCTGGTGAATCCTCTCACCCCCACACTTCTGGCCTGTACCCCAGCTCTTGTATGCATGAATAAATAAATCTTTAAAAAAAGAAAAAGAAAAAAAGAAACTCGCGACTTTTAACCAAGGTTTCCCCAATCTTGCCAAGGCTCCCACTAGGGAGCAGCCCGCTACCCCCTCTCCTCTCCTCCCAGCTATAGAGGTATCCCGGTCTCAGCCTAGACGGCCCAGGTGCCAGCCAGAATCCAAGGCAGCAGGCCTGCCTCTTAGATGAGGCCCCCATAGTCTGAGAGGAGCCAGTTCTGATGCACCCGACTTTCTGGCACGAGCCAGGGAGGAGCTAAGGTTAGTCAGGGACCGCTGGACCTTTCTTCTACCTGCTAAGCTGAGTGTCAGGCGCTTTGGAAGGGTGAGAGGACATACACAAAACATATTAACTGTAGATACTGCACTCAAGGAACTTGCAGATAGCTAGGGAGGGAAGACATTTCCAAAAATAACTCTTGGAAAGGAATGAATACTCCACGAGAAAAATTGGAAAATTCCTTTTTGATGAGAGATCCAACTAAGACTGTTAGAAATGGCAGCCACCACAGGGAATGGCAAGCTTCTGGCTTCTCCCCTGCTGGCCTGCAGTGTGTGGAAAGTTGCGTTACAGAAGCAAACTGGCCCTCCTTACTGAGAGTAGCCCTTAATTTCATCTCAACAGGGTGCTCAGTTCTGGTGGGGGGGGGAGTGAAGTATCAGAACTAAGATCCTGCCCCTAAATCCTTTACAACTTACTGAGAAGAGAAGAAAAATACAAGTCAAATAACTCAGAATGGAACACACAGTTGAGTAGTAAATGGTTGGTATTTCAACCAAGTCTTTATTTTTATTTTTTTTTTTTTGGTAGAGGCATGTTTTTATTTATTTGTTTGTTTGTTTGTTTGTTTGTTTTGTTTATACAAGCACTGGGTACAGTCAGAAGCGCGGGAGGGTGAGAGAATTCACCAGAGCCAGAACGGGGAGCAGAGCAGGCAGAAGGACCGAAGTACACTGCTGAGGGGAGCAGCGGGCGGCAGGAGAGGTCTGCGCGCCATGTGGGACCCTCCTCCAGTGGCCGGGGAGCAGCCGGGGATCGAACCTGCGCCGCGGAGGCTGCAGGCAGCCTTGCAAACCAGCGCTCAACCGCTGCGCCACCAGGGAGGCCCTCAGCCAAGACTTTAGATGCATTCAGAAAAGATAATCCAAGGAAGAAAAGTATTTAGGAAAGCCTCACAGGAAAGATAGGATTTCGTGGACGTGGCTGGGGCAAGGAGAAGAGCATCAGAAATGAAGTAACAGTTTGGTAAAAGTTAGAAATGTGTATGTGTCATGACAAGAAAAAAAAAAGCAGCTCCTGGGAATTGGCCTGCTACCGACAGCTAGGCCTTGGCTTTCTGTTGAAATAAACAATTTTACAAAACATCAGCTCCAGACAAGGCCACTCTTGACCATAATAGATCAAGACCGAAAGCATGATCACTCCTGTCTGAACACAGGCGGAAATATGAACGTTGTCCAAAACACAGCAATGACCAAACAAACACCCCCCTATTATTTTGGCTAATACTGTTACAACATAATCCCCTGGGATTCTAGGTTCCCTGCTCCCCCCGCCCCCAAGGCAGGGTGGAGCTGTGCAGGGAGATTCGGCTAGGGAAAGCCTGGGAAAAGCACTGAGAGAAGAATCAGGGGAGGAAAGGGAGGAAGATGCCTAGAGAGATGAAGAACAAAGACTGGAGGAAGTGGAGCAGAGAGACATGTGAAGAAGCAGCCGCTCTTGCTTCTTGACCTTGGACTTGCACCAAGGACTTGGGGGACATGGAAGGAGGCACTTGAAAGAGACAGAGACATGGATGAGAGGGTCAATGGCAGCCTTTATCTTGACTTGCATTTTGATTTTGCTCTTTTCCTTCTAGATTTGCCTGCCCCCTTCTGCCCTTCTCCTATGGTTCCCCACCAGAAAGTGCCTTAGACTTAAGGCAAGTTTTTAGGCTTCAGTGGCCCTGCTTCTGTTCAACCCTGTTTGGCTGGGCATTTACCCACAGGGGATGAGTAACTTCGGGTGTTTAATTGGAAATTATTTTAAACTATATTCTTTCTCTTCTCTGTCACACACTAATTGTATTAAAGTTCTTTTTCATTGAAGGTCTGATGCACTAGAGTACATTTTGTCTTTATGTGGTGGATGGCAGAACCCATTTAGAGCATGCCTGCTAACAACATGACTGATTCCAGCTTCTTTGCTAATCACAACTTTACCTTAACTTCTCCTTCCCACCTTTTGGATAAAATTTATTGATACTCAGTCACAGAATTACCCCCATTTCCTAACTGCCTTCAATGCAGGGCAAGCCCCACTTCTTTGAACCCTTATCCAAATCATCCAACGCAAACCCAATTCTCTACGTCTTTGCTAACACCTTCTCACAGAGATGTCCCGCCATTTCCCCCTGGTATGCATCTTCTGTTGCAATAAGCATGGTGGTGTTCTATTTGGGGGCGTTGAATTTATGAGCAGAGTAGGAGGTAGTTTGAAAGGAAGACTGATCAGATTGAGGATCTGTGCAGAGTGAGAGAAGCCAGGTAAAGGGAGAGGTTGAAGGGTAGACAGAATCCAAATTTTCATTCATTCTGTGGAGAAATATCAAAAACCTGTGCCATTCCAGGCACTATTCCAGTCAAGAACACTGAAATGACGTTCTTGGCTCCAATAGAACGTGCCTTTTAATAGGCAAGTAAACCTACAGCTACAATACAGTGGTGTAAGCTTAGTTAAGAGAGGAAGCCTGGGGTTCTGGCAGGGTGGGGGTGAGAGGACAGAGAAAGGAGACTAACTTAGCGTGGAGTCCAGTAAAGAAGGGACAGTGTTGAGGAAGTCTTCCCAGGGAAGGTGATGCTTAAACTGAATCTTGAGAGATGGAGGGAGGGAAGGAGGGGTTGTATAGGAAATGAGAGTCAGTAGTTATCCATGATATGAACTGCTTAGTGCCATTTTCCCAGAATTCAATTTTAGGATTAGGGAGTTTTCCATGATGAATTTTAAGATACCTGGGCCTCCCTGGTGGAGCAAGGGGTTAAACACAGCATTATGGAGCAATCTGAAGCCTCTTCAGCATGAGTTTGACACTGCCCCACCCCCCAAGCCAGGGAGCAACCCACATGGCTCAGCAGACCTCTCCTGACACGCCTGCTGCTCCCCTCAGCAGTGTGTTTCAGTCAGTCTGCCTGTTCTGTTCCCCACTCTGTCTCTGGTGAATCCTCTCACCCACCCCCACGCCCCTGCACCTCTGACCTGTACCCCAGCTCTTGTATGCATAAATAAATAAATCTTAACAACAAAAAAAGATACCACAAAAAAGGTTTCTACATGGAAACCTGTGCACAGCAGAGAAGCACTTTGCTTCAGTTTGTGCTCTCAGACATCTTTACCCTGGGCTTCACTTTGGCTGCCTTTGCTTCACCACAGAACTGCCTAAGGACTTGATGCATTCCAGTCCCGTCTCATGAACTTCCAAGTGAGGGGTGGACAAAAGCATCAAATACATGATTTTTGATGCTGCTAATCTACAATGAGGCAAATGGTGCAGTACTGCTCCAATGTCATGCCCTGGAGAGGCTATGCTGTGAACCCCCTCTTATAGATGTTTCAGTCCTATCTCTTCTATCACAAGACCATTCAAAAGCTGCTGGTATCGGCAAACCAAGGTCTCATGTTCCCACTGGAAGCTGGATAAACTATGAGCACGATCCTAAATAATGCCAGCTTCTGTGATCAGCAAACCAATGTGTGGCTTAGATGTTTTCTGGAACAAATAATAAATAGCACAGGGAAGAGCACTGTACTTAGATTATGTGATCTTGAGTTCATCATTTCTTTTTTCCATGCCTTCTTTTCCTCATCATGAAACAAAGCAGAGGGAAAAGGTCTCTGAGATCCCTTCCAGTTTTAAAATCCGTGATCCTATGATTTGCTGTTAAAGCAGCAGAAACCAGTGACTGCTTTCAAGTCTGGCTTCCCTGGGGGATGTGTCCATGGAATGGGAAGTATTTTCCTGGCGCAGGCAGAGACATGACTCTGATTCTGATCAAGCTCTCTATGGACCCAAATGTTCTGCTGAGTCTGCAAAACCTTCCCTAATTCACAGGGATGATGTGTGTGGTTTCCCCACACACAGTTACTGTACCCAGTGGTTTTCAGATGACAGTCTTCAGGATCCTGCAGGGCTTGTAGAGAATTGAAGTCGAAATTCCTCCTAAAGGATTGCCAACAGACTGAATACAGCCTTCAGACTTCATGTTGCTTACCATCTCCAATACATACCTAAATGCCCAACTGTGAATAAATACGTAATGATGATAAATGAAAGCAGGACCCCACCTTCCCTCTGGGAGCAGCATCCATTTTCATAAAATACAATGTGGGATTCGGTTTGGATGACAAGCTTTGAAAGTGTCAGGCAGCTGTGTCGATATCCCCAAACCCCATCTTCTGTCTTTGCTGTGGGGGCTGAGGCAGTATCCACACACTAAA